GCCAGCTACACCCAGGGAGGAAAAGGGAAAGGACTTGTCCCCACATTACCGGTGACAAAGGACAAGCTTCTCTGACATTACTTCTTGTGTCTTTTGAGCTGAGTAGCCTCTGTCATGGAAGGATTGGAGATTTTGCTATGCCTGTTAATAGTGAACATAATTTTGGGGCTGCCTACTTGCACCCACACACAGACTCATTCACCGTGTGTGTGGGTCCACGTGTCCATGAAAATTCTAGTTAGTTGTGCTGGCCTGAGAAACGGCGTGTTTCCCCCGTTTATTTTGTGTGGCATTGCCCGTGATGGCATCCGGCCCCCCTGCAGATCTTAGCAACAATGTGGCACAGCATCCACAGAGAGCACTCTAAGCGGGGCCCCGCCTGCGGAGGCTGGGGTGGCTTTCGTCTGCAGTCCAGGGCCCGACGGGCTGCTGTCTGGCATCACCTCCACCCCGACGGCAGCCCTCAGGTCCTTTGCTCAGTGGGCCCACATTCGAAGCCTCAGGGTCTGCCCTGAAGCTCTTCTCGGAGTTCCCAGCACCTGGAGGAGCTTGCAAAGCATTAGCCCTGCGCTTCCCCAGGTTTTCAGCAGGCAAATTGCAGTGCAGGTCAGCATCCCATTCTAGGCACAGGCTTGTCCTAATGCCTGGTTTCACCCCAGATTCTGGAAATAGTTTTAAAACTTGTATTTAAAAAAACTGCAAACTTGCTCCACAGAGTTCTCAAGTTCCCTGGAATGTGTGAGGGAAAGGATTTACAGCTGCTCTGCATGCAGATGGCCCCTTGGCTTGCTTCTGCCTCTAGATGACCTGATGGGACTTGCGGGGGCAGTGGGGGGGGGAGTCTCTGCCTGCATCCCTAACTAGCTGAGCTGCTTGTCAGCAATTCTGTTGAAGCTGTCCTGAAGGGGACAAAGTGCTCCTCCTGCACGGGGCAGCCATGAGGCTATGGCAGCCAGTTGGGGAAAGGGCTTGTGTTCCAGGAATTTTCCCATGGGCTTACGTGGATTTTCATAAAGTCCCAGTAGTCACCACAGTGGCTTGACTTTTGTTCTCTCTCTTTGTTGGGGTGGTCTCCTAGAGGTGGTCTGGCTGTATACCAGGTTTCTGGGGGTTAACTGAGGTCATCAGGATAGCAAACCAAGACTGATGGAGAATAGGCTTACTTGGCTTTTGGAACTTTTAATGTGTGGCATTTTAAGGATATGCCAATATATACCAACGTGTACCAGTATATTAAGTATAATTTTAAGGGCATACCAATATACATGTCAACATATACTGATACCAAAACGTATCCCAGTGTATTTAAGCACATACCACAAGCACAGGGGGCATGGCCAAGTGGGAAGAACACCAGGTGGGAAGCAGGAGAGCTTTCTCACACCTGAACTGTGTGTCCTGAGGCCAGTTGGTCAGGTCTCTCTGTGAAATCACGGAGTTGCTTCATGTGATCTCAGAGGCCCGTCCCGGTTCTAACAGTCTGTGATCCTTCTGTCCTGATAGTAAAAACAGAGATGAAGTCCCAATGGGACTAAGCGAAGTGAAACTCGTATCAATTTTTTATCATTAAAAATGAGGAATGCCCAGTACAAGTGAAGGGTGAAATGCTTATGTACAAACGAGCTCCTTTTGCCTACTGGGCCTGCTGTCTCTGTACTTTGGGGAAAGGAAGTGCTCCCCGGTGACCAGGAGGGAAAGGCTGGAGCAGAGAAAAAGGCTGCCAGAGCCCCCCACCAGAGCCCGGGTCCTCTGCTCAGGTGAAGGGACTGGATCATGGTCCATTTCCGGGACCAAATGAGGTCACCCAATTCTAGCACAGTCACTGTGCTCTTCCTCCGCCTCCCCCTCACCGCCTCCTCGGCTCTGGTTGATGTCATTCCAGAATAGGTTGTTTATTATGGGTCCGCAGCTCTCTCAGCATCTAACCATTAAGACAGAAAAGTTGCTATCTCTACCGCAGGCGAAGTCAGACAGAAATGACTCGTCCGAGATAAAAAGATACAAACCATGGTTTGTTTGCAGACGAATCCATCCCCTGCCTACTTCACAGCCAAAACTGACTCAGGCGTGTGGAAGACTGTTCACACTAGGTGTCTCTCTACAAGAATGGTCCGAACAAAGGGACCCTGGGTTTGGGCCACGCATGGAGTGTACCTTTCCTTCCAGGGAGCTCCAGGAGAGCTTTCTTGAGGTGACAACTACCATGTCTGAGCCTCACCGATTGCCTGACACTGTGGACCCACACAGGATGACCCAGGACTGTGGGGAAAACCCACCGTGTATTTTATCTCACTCAGTTCTGCCAATAGCCCCAGATGAGAAAATGGAGCATTGGAGAAGTTCAGCCACGCAGGTGGGGTTAAACTGGGATCTGGCCAACCCAAGAGTCCGCTTTTAGCTACCGAAGGAGGGAGTCTGCCTGGGGGGCAGGGAAACTTCTCTCCATCAGTGCGGCCTTGACACCATGCCACGCCGTCAACCTCTCTTCGTTTCTGTCTGGGGAGTTCGCCTTTGTTTCTTATCTTTCTTCCCACTTGGTTCTCATGTTCAGGGACTAACCAGTACATTTCAGTCACTAACAGCTGGCACGGAGCCAGAAATGCAAAATGCCCCCCCACCATAGTCAGCATGTAATTTACCTGCTTTGATCAGATGGTTGGAAAAAAAGAAGCTTTAGGAATGACATGCAGCAACTGCACTGCTCTTATCCCGGGATAGGGCCCCAGAGGGTAAGAAGCCATAATGACTTAGCCTGTTCAGAAGAAGTTTGCTCTTTTGGAAAGAATAATTACAGATCTAGGATGATTAGTAGTAGAACCGTGAAACATTAAACGGTGAGAGGCAGAAGTGGCTCTCGAGAGTGTGGAGGGAGCACCACCACTCTCCGCATGGAGCCCTGTAGCCTGCAGAGAGGTGAGACTGTACCCAGCTCAGTCAAATGTTAACTGGGGCCCCCCACTCACCCCCACTCCTGCCCCGGGTCACGTGCTCTCACCTGCTGACCCCTTAGTAGCGACGGTAACTACCAAGAAAAGCGTTCCACGGAGGTGTCTCACACTCATATTTGTAGGAGTCTCCCACTGTGATTTTCTTCGTCACTGAAGACAAGGGTGACCTATGGAGGAGCCCATAGCAGTGAACTTCATTGAATTTTACAACGTTTTTGTCTTTTCAAGTCAGAGCACAAATCAGTCGTGGAGAAGAGAACTGCATGAGCAGCTTCGTGCGTGTGTGCGTGTGTGTGCTTGTGCGTGCGTGTGTGTGCGCGCGTGTGCATGTGTGCGCATGCGGTGTGTGTGCGTGAGTGTGTGTGTCTTTATGGAGCTTTTGTTAAAGGTTTCTCTGTGGTTGGATTGTGTGGGGTTTTTGGTTTATTTTTGACAGGTTTTTACGTGGAGTCGTAAAAAAAGTGAATCAAAGTTAGTAGTTGGTTTCTTTTGACCTGGTTGCGGAGGAAGGGTCATTCTAAGAAAGTACCAGCAGTGTGACGTGGGTCTGTCGTTTTGCTCATTTTGTCTGCTGCCTTTGCCTAAATACTCCTGGACACGGCTGTGAATCTCCCACCCGGGCAGGCTCAGTTCCTTGGGTGCCCCCAGAGGGAAAAGGACTCTCTTTGGTGCCCTCAGAAGAGATGTTTCTCAGCTCTCTGGGCCTCTCAGGTCAGGCCCACCTTCATCCTTGTCATTCACCGTGTCCCTCGCCTATGCAGAGCTCACTGGCCCAGCTCCTCTGGCCTCTGTGCCTGGGCTGGCCTCCGAACCTCCATCACAGCACTAAGAACCACTACCAGCTTTTGCAGATCCAAGCAGAGGCATCCTTGCTAAGAGGAGCCGTATCGGCAGAGCCCATAGGGAGAAGGCCTTCCTGTTGATACCACAAGGTCTATAAAGGTGGTCGCTACAGGTCAAAAAGATGCATCAGGGCAAAAAATGCATGTAGTGGGTGATTCTCCCACATTTCCATCTTCAGTGACCCCCTCTCCGAACCCCAGAGCAGAATTTGTTATTCCTTACTGCGTGTTTCCAGAACTCCTTGCGTGGACCCCTGAGGTGACTCTTTTCGTAGTTCTTGGAAATCCATGGATTTTCCAGGGCAGGTGCAATTCTTTGTGCCGTCCATCTCCTTCATGACCCGGCTCCAACCCATCTTTAGGATGCTTTTAAGGTTGAATCAAGAGGATGAGAACTAAAGCCCACATGCCAGATGGTGGGTCCCTGGGCCTCCCATCACAGCTGGTGCATTTCTACATTCCCTCCACTTCCTCTGCTCAGGATCCGGCTGTAGAGGAGTGGGACATGCCCAGAGACCCTGGTGACACTGAGACCACAGTCCGCTTTGCCCTCTGGTCACCACTTGGGAGAAGACCTACCTGTAAGACTGTATTTCCTGTGTACTCTAGTGCTGGCTGCTTTGGAAAGAGCCTTCCGCATATTGGCTTCACAAGCTCAGTGCAACTTAGCAGATAAAATTAGCTAATAATGAGTAGAGTTCTTAAATTTTTAAAAAGATTTTGTGCTTGGTACCTTCATGTCCTCCTGCATCCAATCCCTCTTCTCCTTCAGTATATTTACAATAAGAATTCATGTATGAAATACTGGTCTAGTCACAGATTTTCTAGAGAACACTGGTTGGGGCCAGCAAAGATGTCGCTGTAGCTTGAGTTGTTTTGGTGGACTCTCAGTGCACTCCTGGAAGGTAAGAGAATAAGCTGGTGCCAGGCACGGCAACTGGGTTCAGTTCAGCCCCTAGGCTTCTTGAGAAGTGTCTGAATGGACAGAGCTTCCCTCCTGTTGGGAAGGGTAGTGGTTCTCTGTGGGCTTTCTCGGCAGATCACGGAAGCAGGGACTCCCTTGCCATAGAGGTGCCTAGCCACTCACCCTTCCTCGCCCTCCTCCTGGGCTCCCAGAGGGCCTGCCTGGAGGCAGTGATCTGCAGCCGGCCCACTCCTGGGCATGCAGCACCTCCAGCATGCCGGCTAAAGCCTTGTCTTCTCCCCGCAGCCAGCATGCCCACCAGCGAGACCGAGTCGGTGAACACAGAGAACGTAAGTGGCGGAGGCGAGAACCAAGGCAGCTGTGGGAGTCTCTGGTGAGTGTGGAGGCCATTTGCCCTCCTGTCTCCTCCTGCCTTCTTAGGGGAGCACCTGTGGGGCAGGCACCCCAGGCCATAGCCTCAGATGCACGAGGGGTGGGTGGGCTCACCCTGGACCCCTTGGTCCCCCTCCCCTCCCCTCCCAGGCCCCCAGACCCCCAGCGTTTCACATGCCTCTCCCCCCAGAGCAGCCCATCCTGCCGAGGCGGAGCCTGCCACGGGGCATGCCAGGTAACCCGGCAATTCCACTGTGTCCACTAGGTGCTGGTGGAAAAGAAGAGGCACGGCCAAGGCTGGGCCCTCTGGGTGTCGGCGGTGGGGGTAACAGGCCTGATTCTCTTCCCGGTCTGGTGTTGGCATCAGTGCTTTGACGAAGAGCTTGTATGGCAGAGTGGCTGACAGAATGTGCTGCATATTTCAGTTTTCCTTCCCTGGCGGGTTCTCCTGACCTCCTGCGTGGCGGCTGGACCCTGAGAGCTCACGGCACTTGTTTGGGGAGCCCTGCACCATCCTCTCCTAACAGTGGAGGGCGCCACCACATTCACCCCTGTTGGCTTCTGTCTAGATGACCTGGTCCCCAGCGGGGACCAGCAACGTGCAATGTGCAGAGTACTGCCTGCTTTGGGGAGCCCATGCAATTTTGGTTCATTTGCTTCCTGCTGGTATCTCTTAGGTCTTATCTCTGTAAAGTAGAGGTGGTGTTTTTAAGAGAATTTGATCTTCTTGGCAATGATTCATAAAAATAATGTGTTTTGGGCAGAATGCTCAGCAGTTTAAGAAGTGAATTTGCCTCTGTTGTCTTGCTCTGCCCTCCCTACAGCATTGTGAAGTAGGCAGGGGGATGGATTCATCTTCCTCATTTTACAGATGAGAACACTGAGGCTCAACAAGGTGTGCTGCTTGCCCGAAGCCGTGCAGTTAGTGAATAGCAGAGCTAGGACTCCTAGTCCAGTGCTCTTTTTGCTGTAGCAGGAGCACATGCTACTGCTGAGTGGCTGAGAGGCGAGCAGGGGAGGCCCCCCTGACTTCAGTCTGGCGAAGTGGGGTCAGGGGAGAAGAACCCCGGGCATCATGGCCTCTGACAGGGCTGTGCAGGGCCGCTGGCGAAGAGTTTTCTCGTGCCTGGGCCCTGGCAGGTGTCTTGTCTCCTGCTCTGCTCTCACCCCTGATGGCTCACTGGGGGAGCTGGGGATGCTGAGCCCAGGCTTCTGTGCATGGCTTTTCTGATCTCTCAGCTGAAGTGACAGGGAGCATATGCTCAAGCCTTCCTAACAGAAACCCTATTCTTTTTGTCTTTCTTTCAGCCAAGCCATCTCAAAATCCAAGCTCAGGTCAGTGTCATCTATTTTTTCTTAAGCCTGCGTGTTGGTGTTTCACTTTCTTCTAACTTCTCTATTATACATGGAGATGCTCTAGACTTGATTTTTACTCTATGGGCAAGGACACTCATATCGAAGATCAGTCTGTCCAGTCAGTATTCAACACCTGCCTTGGAGAGCAGCATAGTAGGTGCTGAAGATCTTGCCCCAAAACAAACCAATGAGATGCAAACAATGAACAATTTCTTGTCACTAATCAACCCTTTAGATTGCCCACCCCCCCCAAGTCATTTCTCAAAGAGACATACTTCTTGTCACTTTTCTGCTTAAAAGTCTTCTATGGAGGGGAAAGTTCAAGAGGTCTTCTGAGGTGCTAGTGATGTTCTGTTCCTTGCTCTAGATGCAGATTACATGTTTAGTTGCTAAAAGCTTATTGAACCATATACCTATGATTTGTGTACTTTTCCATGTAAATGTTATTTTTCAATTAAAAATGACATTTTACCACATATATAAGAATTAACTTAAAATGGACATAGGAATAAATGTAAAACCTAAAATTGTAAACATTCTAGAAGAAAACATACAAAGTCTTTGTGACCTTGGGTTGGGCAAAGGTTTCTTCTTGGATACAACACCCAAAACACTGGCCATGTGAGTGGATAAGCTTCAGACCAGAAGAAAAAATACTTGCAAAACATTTGATATAAAGGACTAGTACCCACTATATAAAAAGAATACTATGTAAATATGATGTGAGTAATAAGAGAACAACAAAAAAATGGTCAATAGATTTCAACAGGCATGTCACCAAAAAAAAAAGAGCTACAGATGGCAAAGAAGCACATAGAATGACCATTGGTCACTAAGAAAATGCAAATTGGAATCACAATGAGACACCACTGCACACCTTTTAGAACATTTTTTATACTTGTGGATCAAATTTTAAAATCTGACAATACCAAGTTCTGATAAGGATGCAGATCAGCGGGAATTCCCATGTGTTCCTGCGTGGTGCATGGCACGGCCATTTTAAAAAAAATTGGTGGTTTCTTGGAAAGTTAAACGTATATTTACCCTATGATCCAGCAATTCCACTTCTGAGGTATTCATATAAAATGACAGTATATGCCTGCATGAGAAATTTTTATATAGGAGTTTATAGCAGCTTTGTATACAATTGCTGAAAACCGTAAGTAAATCCAACGTCCATAAGATGGTGAATGGGTAGACAAGTTGTAGTTCATGCATATGTTGGAATAATGCTCAGCAATAAGGAAAAAACTGCTGATAGATACAACACAAATGAGTCTGGAAAGTATTTTTGCTAAGTGGAAGAAGCCAGTCTCCGAAAGCTCTATATTGTATGGTTCTCTTTATAGGACATTCTGGATAAAACAAAACGATAGGGACAAAAAGCAGATCAGTAGTTGTCAGGGGCTGAGGTGAGGAGGGTGGGTTAACTATTATAAAGAGCTATGAGGGAAGTTCTTTGAGTGATGGAAATATTCTACCTCTTGATTGTGGTGGTGGTGGTTACAAACCCTATACCTAAATATTAATAATTACCATATGTCAATTGTATCTCAAGAAACCTGATTTTACAAACAACTGGAAGCCCTTCCCTGACTCCCTATTGCCAGAGGGCATATACGTATAGTTCCTTCATCATTTGGCCCCTGGCTCACATTCTGGCCTGACCCTTTGACACCCCTCCCACACTCCCCACTCTGTGGCTATACAGGACTGCTGTCTGTTTTCACCAGGCTCAGTTTCTTCCCACCTCAGTCCCCTTGGCCATGCAGTCCCTTCTGGGTGGAGTGCCCTCCTGTCTGCCCCTGGTGAACTCTTACCCTCTTAACCAGAGCCAGCCCAAATCTCAGCTTTTCAGGGAGGCCCTTCCTGACTCTTGCAAAGAGCATTCCCTGCTCCTGTCTCTCTGTTCCTGTACCCAGGATGCTGAGCATACCACTGAGTGGGGATTGATAATTATTTGCCCCAACCTTGCATGCTTTTCAAGATCAGAGGCTACAGGATGGTGCGCTGTCTTCACCTCTGTAGACCCAGTGTCCAGAGCCCCAAGTGAGGGGCAGGATGGGAAGTGCTGCAGGCCTTCAGGAGATGGGACAGTGAGGCTTCCGAGATTTGGGAGACACTTGAGACTTGTTACTGCAGCATAAATAGACCCAACACTGGTCCTTTTTCAGACCACCTTGCTTGCGTGTACTGAATTATGCATCGCAGGAGAAACCCAGCCTCAGGGGCAGGCTTCAGTGTCCTCAGTGGGATTTTTCTATACTGGTCATCATGTTTCCAGCCACTATTACCACTGGAAACCATATAGCAAGAGCAAGAACAAAGTGCACTTTTCTTGTTGCAGGTCTCATTGAAGAGTGGGCACCGTTCTTTCTTCGCCTGGTCCCTGGGTTACGGTGTTTTCAGCATAGCAATGCAGCTGGGTCAGCCAGAGCTGCAGCCAGGATGCAGCCTGGGGGTTCCTCTGACTCAGGCCCCTAGAGGAAGTGCCCACCAGTCCCATCTGTTAGCACAGCCTACACAGGGCTGACATCGCCACTCGGCTGGCCTTTTCCCGGGACCCACTTCACCAATCCGTCCTGTGGCAGGGAACTTTTCCCACAGGGAGAACAGGCTAAGGGAGGGAATACTTAACCTAATTACAAGCCGGAACTAAAAGTCAGTAGAGGACATGCTACTTGTCTGTCTGGCTCAGCTCATTTTATTTGTATGAAAACACAGTTCAATATTGGCTCTTCTCCTGAAGGTATATTTTGAGCCTCACTAGTTAGAAAGGGCACCTGATGACTCAGTATGAAGACTCATGTCCTACTCGGCTTTGACAAGTCTACCAGGCTCCAGAGAAACCTCCCGGATTTAAGAAAGGACTAAAAGTCTCTGTAAAAGGAAATCTGGGTCTGGAGCACTTTGCTGCCTGATAAATTCTGTATGATGATTAAGATGCCGCAAGAGATGTGTATGAGAAGCCAAAACGGCTCTCTACACCCGCAGTGTGAACAGATCCATGTGCCATATGGTGGGAATGCAAATTGCATATATGTGTGCAGGCTCAGTTTTGCATCTGCGGACAAATCTATGAATATCTAGATTTTTCTAGCTGGTTTGAGGACTGTGCATGGCAGATTATGGAGTCGTCTAAAGCCATAGGAAACTGATTGCACGATCAGGTCAAGATTACACATTTAAAGTTGTATTTAAAGACCAATGTCATTTCTATGTCATGTGTTCTCATCTTTCCTTCCTGCACCCCCTGATCTGGATCTCCAGAGCCAAAGACAAAACCTGTCCCCATGACGTCTGTCGGGCATTCAGAGGCCGCATCTGCTGTTCACGGAGTCACGTTTGCTTCTCTTGCAGCCGACGCTGGCGTCGCTGGAACCGCTTCAATCGCAGAAGATGTCGGGCTGCTGTGAAGTCTGTCACGTTTTACTGGCTGGTTATTGTCCTGGTGTTTCTCAACACCTTAACCATTTCCTCTGAGCACTACAACCAGCCTGACTGGCTGACGCAGATTCAAGGTGCGAGCAGAGACTGTGTTCTTTTTGTTCTGATCCCGAATTAGGGCTTCCTGAGGCTGTCCAGCTGCAGTTTAGTCTTAGCTGATCCATGTGTAGTGACGGGAAATTTCCGGGGGCGCTAGAAGCCAGAGGAACCATCCAAACCCAGGCTGCACCTGGAGGGGTGGGGGCGCAGCCCACATGGTGTGCTGGGGCCAGCTGATGCCATATTTCGTCTCTGGCATATTTCATCTCTCTCTCTAACCGGTTTGACTGCTTCGTGGTGTGTGGTGGAATTACCGAGACCATCTTGGTGGAGCTGGAGATCATGTCTCCCCTGGGGATCTCTGTGTTCTCTGTCTTAACCCTATGACAGCCTAGGGCCAAGGAATCTTGTCGTTGGAAGGGACCTCATCTCCCTTCTCCCCATCCCCACTGGAAGCTTTATTTTCCCGTAGGGTATTCTTGGCAAGTGGTTGTTTCTCCCCTACCTGGAAGGCCCCAGGAGTGTGGGACAGGAGCTCATCCCCAGAGACAGCCTGTTCTGAGTTGGTCAGTTGTGATCCATGGGGAGGTCCTGTTTCTGTCTAGCTCTCCAGCCTGCTGGGTGCCGTTCTCTGTGGTTAGAAATGACTTTGATAGACAACTGCTGCTTATCTCATGGTGCCCTAATCAAGACCAGACTGGCCTTTCTGTGACTGATTGAAACAAAAAATACAATACGTTGGTGTAAATGCAGAAGCACAGGCTTTTAGGGGTAGAAAGCCTCAGAGATTGTGTGGTAAACCTGCTCCTCCCCATTTTATAGTTGGTGAAACTGGGGCGCAGAGAACTCAAGGGACTTCTCCAGAGTCCCACATCTAGGCGGTAACAGAAGCAGGACTAGAACCCGGCACACAGACCATAAACGTTGGTGCCACATGTCTGTAATGGGGGCCACCGCGAAGACTGGGTCAAGGTGGTGGGGCGTTTCCAGCAGACACAGGCGGGAGGGAGGTCTGGGGAGGGAAGACCAGTCTGAGCCACGCCCACAATGAGACCCTTTGTCTTTCCAGATATTGCTAACAAAGTCCTCCTGGCTCTGTTCACCTGCGAGATGCTGGTAAAAATGTACAGCTTGGGTCTCCAGGCATATTTCGTCTCTCTCTTTAACCGGTTTGATTGCTTCGTGGTGTGCGGTGGAATTACTGAGACCATCTTGGTGGAGCTGGAGATCATGTCTCCCCTGGGGATCTCTGTGTTTCGGTGCGTGCGCCTCTTAAGGATTTTCAAGGTGACCAGGTGAGAGTGCATGTAATGCTGCGGGCGTTTTCTGGCTGGGGGGGGTGGTAAGCAGCCACATCCTGGCCCCGTGATGTCCACTGTGTCCCATGGGCGTTGTGTGCTCACACCCCCATCTTGACTTGTAGGCACTGGACTTCCCTGAGCAACTTAGTGGCCTCCTTGTTAAACTCCATGAAGTCCATCGCTTCGCTGTTGCTTCTGCTTTTTCTCTTCATCATCATCTTTTCCTTGCTTGGGATGCAGCTGTTTGGTGGCAAGTTTAATTTTGACGAAACGCAGACCAAGCGGAGCACCTTTGACAATTTCCCTCAAGCCCTTCTGACAGTCTTCCAGGTGAGCCCGTGTGAGGAGGCCGCGTGAGACGCTGTCTTGTCCCTTCACAGCTCGGGAAGACAGGATGATTCTGCTGGGATTAGTGACCTCTGCCCCAATAAGGCTTTGACAAATCCTGTGCCACTGAAGTTGATTGTTGCGCACCTGACTCCAGCTATCTAGGGGGCGTGATTTCATGTTTCCGTAAGACCACTGGATATGGGACAGAATAATAAACCAAAAACATCTGTTTGATTTTGTGAGGTTTCCAAGGTTCCTGGGAGATAGGCTCTACAATCCTCTTCCTGTTCTTTGTGAATTTTTGATTGCAGGCAAGTTTTGTGATCCTGGATCTAACGGATTTGTGCAAGGAGGTGAATTCTAAAGCCCTCATGCTCTGGTGTGTAGTCAGAGGAAGCAGGGTGCTAGAAGGTGTTGTGACAGCCTTCTGGCCCCTTGCTTCTCCCTCCTGTGATGTAACCGGAACCAGCAGGCTCCTAGCATGGAGGCTGTGTGCAGGCAACGAGGCTGAGATGGAGGCACGGTGGCAGGTAGCTCGGCAGGTGGCTCTGCACTCAGAGCAGTGACCTCCACACCCCACCTGGCTTTAAGCAGAGGTGTTCTCAACCCCCTCTTCCTATATTGTGAGCCGAAACCCTTCCTTAAACAGATAGGGGCAGATAAATTTTAAAGACCCATCTGCCCTTGTCACTTTTCACACGTGTCATCAGTGAGCTCCGGAGCCCGGCCTGGGAGGCAGGAAGGTCTGGTGGGAGGGACCGCAGACATCGAGGTCCCCTGCTGGCCATTTCAGTGCTCCACTCTGTGACCTTGGAAAGTCACCATCCTTTGTGGGGAAAAAAAAAAAAAAAAAAAAAACGAAACGAAACAAAAAACCAAGAGACTAGAGGGAATGATCTGTAAGATTCATTTCCACTTGGTCATTTTGAGGAGAATAGAATTACTGTCGCTGCTCTAGGGCCATACTTTTTTGAAATATACTTTAGTTTTTTTAGATTATACTGAATTTTTAGCCACTGATTAGTTATTCTTTTTTCTGTTTTTTTCAGAGAAACCTGTATGGTGGTGGTGGTTTTTGGTAGCACCTGTGTGTGGCACAAAATTCAGATGTTTACAAAAGGATATAAAGTAACAAATGAGTCTCCTTCCCACCCAGCCACCAATTTCTCCTTTGGGGAACAAACACCACTAAATAGCTTCTGTGTATTCTTTGAGATGTATTTGCCCTTCGATGTAAATCAGTGAACCTACCAACCAACCTACCTCCCAGTGAATGTCCTATGATGTAGATGGTAGCTCATTTTATGTGCCGTTTTCCAGGTTCTCACGATTTCAAGTGTCCTTAAGACTCTATCTTATTGGTCCATAAGAGTTTGCCTCCCACTTTTCGATTCTGCAAAAATTCTGTGGTGTGGATGTCCCCTAATTCATGTAACCAGTCCCTAGCCGATGAATATCTCATTGTGGCCGGCCTCGGCTCCATGGGTGACCCTGAACACACACCATGGACACGTGTGTGAGTGTAGATGTGTAGGGTAAATTCCCCAGAGGTGGAATTGCTGTTTTGAAGGGTGTGTGTCCATTTTCAACACTGATACTCTTGGCCGACACGCTCCTCAAGGTAGCGACAGTCCATCCTCCAGGGATGGGGTCTGGACGCTGTCCGACACCTCACCGCTTTTTACCACAGTGGGTGTTCAAGCTGTTTGATGGTTATCTGACAGGTGAAAATGGTATCTTGTAGTTTTAATGCCTATTTCTCTTATCAGGAGTGAACCTGAATGTTCTCGTGTGACTAAGAGCCACTAAGTTCCTTTCCTGGGAACTGCTTTATCTTTTGAAATCATTCACCCATACTTCTGTTGGGTTGTGAGCCATGACAGTTTTATTTTTTAAAGTGTCTGGTGCAGATAGACAATACAGAAGCACATGTACTCCCTCTCTCTTTCTTTCTCTCTCTGGAAGATGGTATGGTTTATTTTTATTTATTTATTATTATAAATTATTTTTTAGATAGTATGTTTTTAAAATGCTATTTAGGTTCATCTGTTCTTAACCTCAATATAGATTAAGTTATCAGATATCAGCAGAGAAGATTCCATGTGAAATTTCAGGTAGTTATTAGTATCTACTCATTGGATAGTTTGTAAATTTACATGAGATATTTGGAATTCCCAGCCTCTACAGATTCATGGGTCTAATTCTCCATTTCTAGTATAGATTAACTGTGTGGAATAGTAGGCAGCCATTGAAAGGATTGAAGGCACTTACTGACACAGGGGGGTCTCCAGTATATTGTTGAGTGGGGAAAAAAAGGCAAACACAGAAAATTCATATAGTATGACATCCTTTGTGTCCAATAAGTCTGAGAAGACACCACCTACCTCTTTCCTCTGGGCGGGTATCTGTGTGCTTATGTGCGTAGAGGTTCTAGAGAGAGATGCACCAACAGCATGCTCTCCGGGGGGTGGTGGTGCAGAACTGGGGTGTCATCAAAGATTAGGTAGGTCTTATATGCAGTGCTGCTTTATTTCCATGTGAAGAATTAACTCCTGTGTTTGTGTAATTGAAAACAGTGTTTTGAAAACTCTACGGGGTAACCGATGGATTTGTTGAGCACAGTGAAAGGCAGCTCAAACCAGATTTGGGGAGCCCCCGGCGGGTTCTGGAGGGCTGTCAGGAGCTGCGGTCCAGCTGCGTGTGGACTGACCGCGGTTTTGGCCTCTTAGATCCTGACAGGGGAAGACTGGAACGCTGTGATGTATGATGGCATTATGGCCTATGGTGGCCCATCCTCTTCAGGAATGATCGTCTGCATCTACTTCATCATCCTCTTCATTTGTGGTAACTGTATCCTTCAAGCTGACCAGGGGCTTTGTCATTTTGTTTCGCCCTGTCTGAACTTCCCTGCAGTGGTAGTGGTGGTGGCGGCCGTTGGGGTGGGGAGATGAATGCCTTTACCTTGTTAGCCCAATACCTGCTCCCCTTCACTGTCGCTGGGACGGCATGGTCAGAGTTCCCGTAGGCTTTGAAGAATGAGCAAACTGGGGAAGGGAGCATGGGACAATGCGTGGGCTGTTCTCGTTGTCACCCAGCTTGGCATCACAGCTCCTGTGCAAGTCCCAAGGGAAGGCTTAGGGCAGAGCGGAGTGGTCTTCCGTGCCATCATGCTTGGGAGGTTAGCTGTGTCTCTTGAGACCCTTCCTAACCAGTGGGGACCCATTGTCAGTGGCTTGATGTAAGCTCCCTGGACCTGATTTGGCTTTGCTGCTCTGTACATCTCTGGGGATCATGTATCCATTGGCTAACTGCTGTGTTAGGCTCTGAGCTCTTTTCTGACTCCTTTTATTCCTTTTCCCTGGCAAGAGGCCCTCCCTAATTCTAGACTTCTGGAACTTTGGATCTCTCTTTCACTCAATCAGACCCTTTATGACCCTGTAACTTTTGGTTCTGTCTTCTCTCTCTCTGACCTCCCTGACTGGCACAGACCTGGCATATGGAACCCTCAGTGAGGGTTTGGAGAAAGAGCAATTGTACAAATATGTGAATACCACCTCTTGGTCTTCACTTTTTTATTTTAAAGAATCCTACCTGGATTCTTCTAAGAAGCCCCAGATTCCTTCAGCTGTTTTCCCCTTGTTCTTTAGTGACTTGTCTTCTGTGCAGAAGCGCCAGCACAAACTTCTAAGGACAATACATAGAAACCCTACTAGTCCCTCAGGCAGCTCCAGCACCCCTCCTACTCGATTCATCCATATAGCTCCTACTGCACATGGGGGGCCAGATCCTACTGAATTTGGGATGGGTGCTTCTCCCTCCTCCCAGCTCAACAATAAACTTCTTGAGTCAGGAATTTCTTCTTTGTATTCACATCTCTCATGGCTTATAGTGGAGGGTCTTGCACATAGTCGGCCCTTGGCAAATGGTTGTTAAAGGAATGATCAGTGTTTTCTTATTGTACTCTCCTCCATGAACCCTTCAGGCCAGAACCCTTCTGGCTTTAGGTCCGTGGAGAAGTATTCCCTGGTGACACTCATTCTGGTTACATGTTGTGTGTTTTGTTTTGTTTTGTTTGTAATACATGTATCACTGAAATGCTTAAGTAGTTTATGTTCTATCTCCCCCTACATGAGAGTAGGGACTCTGGTCCGTCATGTCCCTAGCACCCAGCACAATCCCCAGCATGTTGGAGGTTCTTGGATCTTTTTGAGTGAATTCTAGAGCACACCACTATTTAGGAGGGTCTGGGTAATGCCTCTAAATACAGATGATGGGTGTTTGCTCTTGGAAACTGTCTATTACAAACTTGCAAGATTTTTCTATGGTTTATTACTCTGGATGTGCTTTCCACTACTCAAAATTTGGTGTCATTGCAAGACTAAGGATATATTATTTCTTCATTGAGATCTTTGGTAGGAATTCTCAATACAGTTAGTCCTGCAGTAATCCCTACCTGAGCCATCATTATCCCACACATATCAGAGAAGGGCTTGCATTACCAAGCCATCACCCAGCCCAAGACAGATCGCTTCCTTGGGCTCATTACAGCTCTGCTTAACACGTAGTCTAACATACCAAAGGCTTTTTGGAAGTTTTAATGCAACTCATTCATGTTTCTATCATCTTTAAAGACTTGAATAGATTAGTCAAGGATGATATTCCCTGGAAGCTATTTCATCACCAGTCTCTTTGTTAGGTTACGTTTGTGTTACCCAGCTGAGATTTCAGATTGCACAGGGCCTGGGGGACAGTGGTGCACCTCTCCCATCTCGGGGCTCTTGGGCTCCCACAGTCTTGCACACAGATGACCATGCATCAGCCAAGGAGAAGCATGTTCAGAGAAGGACCCATCTAGACTTACTTCCCTCTGATCCCTGTGCTTCTCAAAAATGTATTTAACTGCTGGTGAATAAGAAACAGGCATCTTCCAAGAGATTTGGGAAACTTGCTCAGAATTATTTTTTTTTTCTATCCAAGGAAACCATACATACAACATTATAGTAAGAGCCAAAAACCTGATAGCTTGTTCAGTCACCTCGCTTTTGGGGATTTGAAAAAATAAAATCCAACCACAGTAGTCAAAGATACAGCTGTAGTGGGGCTATTCAAAAGAACAGTTGGGCACCATCTGGCAATATATCAGTGTTTGTGCGGTGAACGAATGAGTATCCGCAGACTCTGAAGACTCTGAAGACCATTTCAGATGAGAAAGACTCAGACTGCATTGTGTAATCATCATCTTGAATAATGTGTAGCCTAAAAGGGTCTATTTGGGAAAGCATGCCCTGTATATATATGTTATGGGTACGTGTGTGTTTTGAAAGAAAAAAACAAAGAAAGAAAGAAAACGTAAAATGCATAACAACACCGTGTTCACATAATAGATTGTTTCATGCAGTGTGTATGATAGGTGTAGATACCTCAGTGTATGGAGACACACATGTCTGTGCAAGCACATACGTATGCACGCCTATTAAAGGAAATGTTGAAGTTTATAGGTTTTCATGGCTTTTAGTGGATCTTAATTTTGCTTCTTTCCAGACTGTCTTCTACAGGTTTCTAGGGTTTCTTGTTTTTGCTGGTTTGGTTTTGTTTTCTAAGCAGGCTCTGGCCTTCTGGTCTTACTAAGTGAATACAGCACTTAGGGGACAGTCACCTGTTACCAGCCTTCCAAAGCACAGAGGGGTGTGACATTGCCATTGTCAACCACAAGTAGTTGCATTTAGAAATTGTGTTGTTCCCTTAAAATTGTTCCAACTAGATATCCTACTGAATGTCTTCTTGGCGATTGCTGTAGACAATCTGGCTGATGCTGAAAGTTTGAATACTGCCCAGAAAGAGGAAGCTGAAGAGAAGGAGAGGAAAAAGATTGCCAGGTAACCCTGTTTTCACCCGAGGATGGAATCCTGGGCAGAACCCAGGCCCTCGGCTCTCCTTCCCTCAGAGCCGAGAGTAGGAGTCACATGGTCCCATGCTTAAAGAATCCCTGTGGTTAATTTTGGTGTCATGAAATAAATGACGCATTTGATGCTGATGAGCTCTCACATGAGAATTTTAATACGATGATCTGTGTAATGAACCCAGCGCACTGAGGTGAACGGGAAGGCTCTTCGTGTGGGTTGTGCTGTTTTCTCGCTTTTAGAGTTGTTTCCAATTAAATTCTGTCCTTCATCAGGCCACTGTGGATTCCGAATCTGGATTAGCATTTTTGTACATAGCAATATGGTTATTTGGTTTCTCGTGTTCTTTTCTCTACAGAAAAGAGAGCCTGGAGAATAAAAAGAACAACAAACCAGAAGTCAACCAGATAGCCAACAGTGACAATAAGGTATATGTCCTGAAACACTTCTCCCCTTTCTGTTTCAAATTGAATCTGTTGATATTGTCACAAATATACCATTTACACCATGAGAAATATCCTGTGTGATATTTTGGTGTGAGAGTGTGGCACACCATTATAGACACTGGCTTCCCAGGGGGATTCTGGGTGAATTTAGGCAGCTAGCTGGTGATCCATTAATGTTTCACCAAATAGCCAGCATGATAAATATTTGGGGGGACCACTTAAATTTTCTTTATTGGAATTGTGTCATCAGACCTGATCTGTTAGTATCTTCTCAGTAGGGCTTAAAATCGAGGATTGTTAATAGAAATGTGCCTCCAGAAGGAATCTTGGGATTGGGGATCTGGGTGCTCAGGGCTATACCGTCAAACTTCATCCCACTCGTGACAACTCTGGATTTTTCATTCATTTGTTTGGGTCCCTAAGTCAGTAAATACTTATTGAGTGGTTATTGTGTGGCAGATACTGGAGCTCAGCAATGAAGAAGACCAACGAGGTCCCTGTGTGCATGGAACTCGCATCCTAGCAGGGAGACAGGAATCTGCCGTGCAGTTAGCATACAGTGTGTGGGACAGTGCTGGGTAGAGAGGGGCATGGATGGTGCCGGCTAACCATGGCTGGGTAGAGGTTATACTCGTTTTCTCCTCATCTGCCCTCAGAGCTATGGCTGAAGCAGAATCACCACTGGGGATACCTGTCCATAGGCATGCATGCACTTACATGCAATGTGCATTTTGCAGAGAGCTTCTTTCTGTGTGCTGAATGGCAGGGCTGATTCTTCACTTGGGTCTTCTGCAGTGCATTGAAGTCAGAGTCTCCCCTCCTCCCAAGACCTCTCTGTCATCCTAGGTTACAATTGATGACTATCGAGAAGAGGATGAAGACAAGGACCCCTACCCACCTTGTGATGTGCCAGGTATGGTGGCAGAGGCCAGTGACAGGCTCTCAGTTCATGGGTGATGTGGCTTTGCTGCCACACAGTGATCAGGGGCTCAGTCTGTGGCCGACCAGCCCAGCTGGCGTGATGGTGGGTGGTGAGGCTGCCGAGGCCATAGGTCCGGTCTCCTCATGGAGCAGTTAGCCCTGCTCTTTGTTCTTGGTCACCCAGGTGGCTTACATAACCCAAATTCCAGGTGGTGGGGAGAGAAAGTGTGAGTGGATCCAGGCAAGCCCCTCTTCTTCTGGGAAATCTCTTTAGGAGGCAACCAGCCATTCCTACTGTTATTACTGCTCACCTGACCCTTTCACATTTGCTGGTGCTTTTATTGCTGATGTAGCAGGGACTGTGGGGCAGGGGGGATGATCCTGTTTGGCTTGAAGTCTCACACACAGTTTTTCAGGCTGAAGCTGAGCAAGGCTACTGGGGAAACAGCCGGGTGCTGGGAGTATGGCAGTGAGAAGCCCACCACTGATACCTTCTGCGTGGGTCAGATTTGGAACTGCTGGGAACCTCCTTCCCAGAACCGCACACGCTCACAGACAGGCACACTTCTTGGCCCCCCACACGCACTCAGTCCATTTGGAAGGGTTGTGATGAACGTAAGCTGATAGATGTGAGAGTTTACTCTCCATGGGAAATTGTGAATAATGATTCGAACCAGAATGCGATCGTTATTTCATGCCTATAAAAAAGGTGTCTCATTTAAAGTAGGGGAAGAGGAAGAGGAGGAAGAGGAAGATGAACCTGAGGTTCCTGCTGGCCCCCGTCCTCGCAGAATCTCAGAGTTGAACATGAAGGAGAAAATCACCCCCATTCCTGAAGGGAGCGCATTCTTCATTCTGAGCAAGACCAACCCGTAAATACCCAGTTTCTAATTTCATTGCTGCTGTGTCTCCCCTGTCACCCTACAGATTGCTTGAGGGGGTGCTGGAGATGGGGTGAAGGAGGGTGACTCAGGGTCTTTTTCTGTGCCTATGCATTGGAGACCCTGCGTCCCTCTCTTGCTCCAGCTTTGCCTTTGCCCTCTGTCTCTTCCTGGCCATCCTGTTCTTGGATGGAGGTGCTGTTAGGAGTATGACCGGCCCCTGGGACGAGTGGCATTCCAGATTCTCCTCCCCTTTAGCCCCCGTACTGGTCAGAGCCCATGGCTTGGGTGTCCACGGGTTGTCACTTGTGAAGTGTTTTCCATCCAGAGGACCCTTTCTTCACGAGTGGGTCTTTCTGTTGAGGTGCTTTGGAGATGAGAATTTTGTGGCCAAGTTCTGCACAGCATCTTCATCCTGAGATCCAGTTTAGTCAATCACTATTCCCCATTGAGTTTTATGGCAATACAGTGATATTGCTCAAAGATATTTTATAGATCGTAGCTCTTCAATTCAGATCTAGGATATCCTGCTTAAAATAGCATTTCTCATGTTAAAATGATAAGGTGCTCACCAAGAGCACTGTACTTACAAGTACTGCAAGAGGATGACATTTATTTATGAGCTGGTTTCTAGGTTTTAAATCATCTGAGACAGATGGCATACCGGGGGGTGGGGGTGGGGAATGAATGGCTCCTGGAAAGGTTTCTAGAATTATAGAAGCAGTTCTTGGCTGTCAGAGGAGAACTCTATGGAATTCACAATCCCCAGGGAGACACAGGTGGGAAGCAAGGCTGCAGTCCTTAGTAACTTGAGGATTTGATGGTAGTTTTTATAACTCATCACTGTTGAGAGTTTGGGTGTCTCTTTATTTTTTAAAAAAGATTTTATTTACTTATTTGAGAGAGCAAGCATGAGCAGGGGGAGGGGCAAAGGGAGACGTAGACTCCTCACTGAGCAGGGAGCCTGACTCGGGGCTCGATCCCAGGATCCTGAGATCATGACCTGAGCTGAAGGCAGACGCTTAACCGGCTGAGCCACCCAGGCGTTCCTGGGTGTCTCTTTAAAAAAAAAAAGGTATTTGACTGATATTACTGAAGCCTACAGCTTACCGGGTCTACATGTATTGAAGGAATGGATTGATTTCCCCCCAAAGCTGTGAACACTCCTGCACCTTGGAACGTGTTCCCAGACTCACCTGCTAACAGCTTGCAAGCCCTCCCAGGGCACATCTCAGCATGAAGCAGCCCCCAACAGGAGGTTTCTCATAAAGTTGACTCCAGTTTTGAAAGTGAAAAAGGAAAATATTTTCAAGGGAAAACATACATGTATTCTCCAGGCTAAAAATAAAATCTTTAAATTCTAAAGTCCAGTGTTGAGGTTAAGGGTCGTCTGGCACTAACTAGCCCATGGGACGGCAGGAAAACAGGACGCTGAAGATTCTGTCACGTGGTACTAAGATCCCTGTGCAATTTGTGCATGATGCAACTTTCACTCCACTTTCTCACCAGTGCTTGTGGGTCAGCTCCAAAGTTTAAAAACACAAACAAAAGTGGCACCTGGGTGGCTCAGTCAGTTAAGCCTCTGCCTTCGGCTCAGGTCATGATCCCAGGGTCCTGGGATAGAGTCCTGCATTGGGCTCCCTGCTCGGCGGGGGAGTCTCCCTCTCCCTCTGCCTGCCTCTCCCCCTGCTTGTGCTCTCTCTCTCTCTCTGTCAAATAAATAAATAAATAAATAAATAAAAAATAAATAAATAAATAAATAAATAAATAAATAAAAAAAATCAATCAATCTTAAAAAAACCAAAGCACTTAGGACAGAATCTCCACATAACAGGAGATTTTACCAAGCCCATCTACTAGTCATTTTCATACAGCCAGCTGTATGAAGCTGTTGCAGCGAGCTCTGTGCTCAGGTTCTTCTTAAGGCGGGGATAGGAAGCCACTGGGCTTCTCATGTCATAGGGGGAGCTGTTACCATCCAGCTGGATTGGAAATCTCCCTCAGTCCTTACTAGCTGTGTCACCTTAAGAAATTTCAAATGCATAAGCCTCAGTTTCTCCACTTGTAGCCGGACGATAATCCCCACTTTTCAGGACTTAATGAATGATGTCTCTGAGGAGTCCCCACACAGAGCCGTGGCACTGTGGGCCCTTGGGGTCTCCCTTCTGGCACTTTCCAGGGGCTCACAGTCCGGTGGCTCGGGTTGGCCAGGCGGGGGCACGGGCAGCATAGCAGACCGCTGTCCTCTGCCTGACCTGTCACCGCCGAGTGCTGTGTCCATGCAGCGGCTTTCCCCACAGGATCCGCGTGGGCTGCCACAAGCTCATCAACCACCACATCTTCACCAACCTCATCCTCGTGTTCATCATGCTGAGTAGCGCCGCCCTTGCCGCCGAGGACCCCATCCGCAGCCACTCCTTCCGGAACACCGTAAGCCACGGGGCAGGGACAGGCGGGCGGGTCTTCGGCTGGGAGGAGCACTGGGCTCTCTGGCAGGGGCCGTCACTCACGGCTAAAGGCTAGAGGCAGCCTCTTCTCATTCACCTGGAGGCATCTGGTATTTCGGGACGTGCGTGCCGGGGGTTTTGTCTTAGCCAGACAAACCTGGTTTGAATCCTGTCCACGACACTTCATTTCAAATACTCTGCAGTAACTTATAGTGCATTCAGGAGCCCCGCTTCTCCTTCTTTGTTCCTTGCTGCCAACATTTTCGTCCCTCTCTTCCCCTCCCTGGTCATATTCATGTCCACACCTGTCTTGAGATTTCTGCCCGCATCCAGCAGGAGAGAAAGTAGAAATGGAACCAGGTATGTCGCGTGCCCAGAAGCTCATATTTAGGGTTGGTGGGAAGATGTCTAGCTGACGTGGGCTGAAATTCACAGAGCCACTTGGTCTCATCACTGGGGGAAACACAAGTTGGGTGGGGGCGATGGCGGGTGGAACCCCGTGGTGCAGTGGAGAGGAAGAACTGTGTTTTGGTGGGGCCAGGAGGCGGTTTTACGAAGAAAACAAGTGGGCAGTTTTCTGTTATCAGTTTTGTACTTTAGGGAGGAGAGCACCCTTCCACGGCATCTGTGCTGCTCAGAAATTGTATCCAAAACTGTTCTTGCCCGAGCTGTCCCACCTTAACAGTTCAGCTCATTCAGCACTGAGAACAATGCAGAGAGTGAGAACAATCCCAAGGTGACACAGCTTTGGAAGCCCCATAGTCTGTTTACTGCTTTGGCCTTGATACCATAGTGCAGTTTCAGGTGGTTATCGGGAAACCCAGGAGAGGGAGACCCGCAGGTGTGCGAGGTCATCGGCATTGATGCCTTGCCTGGTGCGTACCTCTCTGCGGTCGTCAGATTTTTAGAGATTTGAGGATTAAGACAGATCCCCAGATCGGTGTCCCGGGATTTTGGTTGTGACCATCAAGCCTTGTGCTGTATCTTTTCATTTCCAGGGCTGTCGGTTTGCAGCCTAGCAACCCCAATCTATCAGACTGATAAAACATGGGCACTCTGATGTGCAGATTTTAAAACAACTTCCTTCCTAGGGCACATGTTGGTGTTGATGCAAAGACGAAGGCCCTGCACCTGTCCTAATCTGCACTCACAGATCAGGGCTTGTGCTAGAGATGCTGAGACTGTCTCTATCTCAATGTTCAGATAGAACGTGAGCTTCATCATAGACATGAAGCACAAGGGGAAGAAGCTGTTTGGAAAAAAATACCATTATTGACAGAGTAGGTCAGGAGCTAGTCTAGAACACAGACTGACTAAGAGTTAATTTACAGGGGGCCTCATGTTCTTATTTTTTATTGTAATTACTTCCCCATGAGCTTATTTCCCTGCCCTTTTTCCAAGAATGTTACTGTTCTTAAACAGATGTACATATGTGTACATATATTGCCTGTAAAATACTATATAGTGTTTATTGTGGTAAAGAATACTTAACGTGAGATCTACTCTCTTGATAAATTAAGTGTATGAGTTAGCATTCTTAACGGTAGGTAGTGTGTTGTAGAGCTGGTCTCCAGAAGTTACTCATCTTGCCTGACTGAAACTTTACACCCGTTGAACATCTCCCCATTTCTCCCTCCCCCAGCCCCCGGCAGCCTCCGTTCTCCTTTCTGTCTAAGGGTTTGGCTACTTTAGATGCCCCCATGTAAGTGGACTCATGCAGTGCTTTTGTTGTTGTTGTTTTAAGCTTAGCTGAGTTATTAGTGAAAGAGGGCTGAATAAGGAAAGAACAGCTTGCATCTAGGAGCTCTGACCTCCAGCACCAAAGTTGGATTGCTGGTATGTGGGCAGCGGTGTGTCTTGGCTACGTGGGTGCTTTCTACGTGAACAGTCCTGCTGTGACCTGGGATGGAGGAAGGGGCAGGGGCTTGCTGTGTGCTGGAAATACCTTTCATTGCCTGTCTAGAAACATAAATATACAAAAGGTGTCCAGCAAAATCTAGAAATCTCTAAACAGAAACGATTGGGGCAATGAATACCCTCCAGAGAACTTGAGCTGAAGACAGTTGGCCTTTGCAGCAGGGGCCCTGCCCTTACTGTGGTGGAGCAATCAAGGACTCCCCTGGGCTGGATCCCAGACTTGAGTCATAGGACCCAGGGTTCTCGACTAACATTCCACAGACCTCACTCCGCCCGACCCTTCCCTGGCATCCTCATCTGTTACCTGAAGGGAGTTGGTCTGGGGGGTCTCCATGGTCCCTTCGGCTCTGATCTCTTCAGTGCTTTCGAAGCCATAGGGCATGGCTGTGAAGAAGAGCAGCAGCCAAGATGGCAGCCGAGATGGCAGCCAAGATGGTCTCTGCAAGTAGCAGAGTCTTGGCTGCCATCTTTGTGGCGGAGGGTTCCCTGTGAGTAGCCTCAGTCGAGCAGTCAGACTCTTGCCGCTGGTGCCCACCTGCCCTACCCACCTGTCCACCCCCACGGCTCTGAGAAGAAGCAGGGTGCCCAGAAGGGTTCCCTGAGCAGGACTCAGTTGGAGAGTAGATGGTATTTTCAGGAAATCTGATAAAGTAAGCTGGACTGATAATTCAAAGGCCAGGTCAGTCTGTTCTTTGCTTGGGCCCAGCTGGGTAAAAACTAAACAAAAACTCAGTGCCGGGAGAGAGCCGTGTTAGAAAAGAGCGGAGGCCAAGAGTTTTACTTTCCAAGTTACTTGGTAAAGTAAAAGTACAAGTTTACTTGTAAAGTCAAAATCTTCCCTGAGGACTTACCAGCCCTGCACGTCAGTGAAGGAAGGGCATTGTGACTCCCAGATGACATGGGCTGGAATCGGAAGGGGCACATGGAAGCTTCTGGCCCCCACTGGCTACCACTCACACCTTCATTTACATTTCCCCACCAGGCCGAGGCCCAGCTAGATGACGCCCTATCCCATTAAGCCAAAAAGGCAGTTAAAAATCCAACTTGGTGTATAACACTCCAGTTTATCTGGTATCGCCAGTTTGTCAGTGTTGTGCTGTGATGAGCAAAGGTTGTGTTAATAAAGCACTTGTAGAAATGAGCCTTTGTCCATCCATGACACCAGACAGGGAAGAGAGTCCGCATGAGTAGTTGAAGGAGGTGAGTGTTCCCAGATGCTCTTCGTTGGTCACAAAGCTGAGCCATAACCGGCCGGGGGAGGTGACGCACCTGCCCCCAGAGCGGCGGGCCTGTCTCGGGAGGACGGGGGTCTGACTGCATGCAGGGGTTCTGCCTGTGGGTGTGCAGCTGTCCGAATTTGTCCGGATGCCTGTGTCTCATGTCCACAATGTTGTACCTTGCAGATACTGGGTTACTTTGACTATGCTTTCACAGCCATCTTTACTGTTGAAATCCTGTTAAAGGTAATGGCTTTTTCATTGATCCTCACCTATCCTAAAGCAGCTGTAGCAATAATGGTTGCAATTCTTTGTTTACCTTCCAGATGCTAGGTTATGCAGATTATGTCTTCACTGGTACTTTTGCCTTTGAGATCGTTTTGAAGGTAACAGGTTCCACAGCCGTGTGTCTAAGGGGCCTGCTCCTGTGGGACACGTGGCAAAGAAGCGTGAAGTGCTTTTGACTATTTTTATTTTTTGCCTTCTGTGATCAAGCTACACTTTTTTTTTTTTTTTAAACCAAAGGACTTTTTTTTTCTGTAACCATTCAACTTGTTTTTGCTGTTTCTTTTTAACCTTTCAATGCATGTAGGAGCTACTTTGGCTTCATCATAGTGACTGGAAATTATTTTGCTCCTTAAATATATCCTCTGAAATTTGTCATCTGATAACAGATACATCACTCTGTGTGAACCTTCTTCTACCTTTCCTGACCTCAAAGTCAGAGGAGAAGCATTTATCCTATGAAGGGAATGTATCTCCTTTCATTTCTTTGACTGAATTGTTTTCAGTGGCCTGAAATAGTAACACGCTATTTTCTTGCAATGGGATTTGCAAGATAACCCGGGTCTTTTTGTGTTAAGATATTTTATATCTGTTTTAATGGATGGGCTTACATTTATGCAAACAAAAGGAACACGCTTTGGATGGGGCGCCCTAAATATACTGCCCATGCATGAGCTCACAGTTGCCATTGCTGCATGTGGTTTGTGGACTGAGTGTGATGGCCCCCCGGGGCGAGCTCATTCCCTATGCACTCAGAAGTCTGGAGACCTGCAGCAGAAAGCTGAGGAAACCACCCCCTCCACTTACTAAGTGTCATGGGTCATTGCCGGACCGGGATAGCGTGACCCGTGACAACTGTCAGAGCAATCGTCTCCTAGTGGGGAGACAAGCTGGGAGATTTTCACCACAATTGTCTTTAAACCAACCATTTTGAGTTTTTATGTGTGCATCTCAGGGGGAAAAAACGTATTTTATGTCAGACTCCTGTGGAACTTGGGCTCTTTACAAAATCTTTTATAAAATAAAACCTCACTGAACTTTGCCAGGGAATGGGGTACTTAGAGTTACTTTCTTTTTGTTGTTGTTGTTTAATGAAAACATCAGCGCAAACCAACCAACCTCTACTTAAAACTTTGTTAAGAATCTAAAAATTCACATTCACTTTCCTGCCTTTAAACCATCGACTGTGGCTGACAGTTCTCAGTGAGAACCCTGCCCGGTTAGTGATTCTGGCAAAGTCACCACAGTGAGGAGCACAGACACATAATGCACAGGGCTTGGGGGTCAAGGACACTCACCCCACCTCTACTTGATCCCGAGCTACCCTTTTTTTTGTAATTTGCCTTCTTCTCAAACTGAGTGGGGGACACATTCCACTTAGTCTGTTAGCCTGGTTCATCGAGGTTTTATTTTACTTCCTGCATTTTTTAGTGGTTAAATGAATGTAGTTACTCTTGGACTTTGGGGCAAATGAGATACAGAATTATTTAAAAGAAATTAAAAACAACTACTGCTTTTAAATTTCTGGATATTTGCTTCAGTGACTTAAATCTTCCAAGTTATTCTTCATTTTAAAGATGTGGTGGAGGGTGGAAAACAAAAAACCAGAAGGATTCAGCGAACACAGACTCACCAAGAAGCATCTAGCATCGGAGGCGGTGGTTCCTGCTGGCTGTGGGAAGGCTGGGGAGGCTCTACGACGATTCGGTTGAATCGTACGGAATTGCCTTTTTTTTTTTTTTTTTTTTTGGTCAAGAACGGCGGTGTTTTGGTGATTTCATATGGTCTGGTGTAACGGTTTCCCGACTCCGGCGCGCTCTGTCCTGGACTCACCTGAGCCCTCTCCACTTTTTTTTTTTTTTTTTTTTTTTTTTTTAATTCACAGTGAACTTGATGTACTTTGCTGTTTTTACTCTGGGAATTTCTTCACTAAAGTCCTTTTGCATTGCCAGTAGGCACCTCTCTGGAGCACCCATGGTGTGGGCTCTGGGTGCATGTGGCATGGGACTCCAGGGCAGGGAGACTGCCCAGGGGAGAGGCCTGTGCTGGCTTCCTGACCACCCCTTGCACATGCTGGGGTCACTGGACCTGGAGGCACCGTTTAAACTGGATGTCTCCCTGAGGACCATTGGCAGCAGGCAGGGCGCTACCCGGTAAAATGGTGCAAGTCTCTCTGAACAGAGCCTGGGAGCACTGGGCTCCAGTGCTTTCACTAGTCCCACTGGGAAGGCCCACTGGGACGATAGAGGCTCTCCTGGGCTCTTGGGGACCAGAGGCAGCGTGTTGTGGGTGGCCGAATTATCTGGGCAGCGATGATGTCCTGATGAGCAGGGCCATGTGGACCCTTCTGGGACAGGCTCTTTGGACCTGCCCACGCTGGATTCCTACACGCAGTTTGTCATCGTTGGTATGGAGTCTAGACTGGTCTCTTCTTTTAAAATGTATCTGAAATCAGCTGCCCCTTTTCCATTTTTGAACGAATATCTAGGTCAGCCCTGTTGGTGTACATTTCTGGCTTCCTAATGCATGCTTGTTAGTAAAGTCATACTTTCCTCAAGGTTTTGTACAGAGCCCAGGTTTCTTTTCTTCTGAGAGAAAAAAATATCCATAAATCACTCATGATTCTGTTTATAGATGGCGACTTTTGGAGCTTTCCTCCACAAAGGGGCTTTCTGCAGGAACTACTTCAATCTGCTGGATATGCTGGTGGTCGGGGTGTCCCTAGTATCATTTGGGATCCAGTAAGTATTCTGGGGTGGATGTGGGAGTGTGGGCACAAGACTGTTGGGCAGGATGGTTAATGTGAGGAATTTTAACATAATTCATAAAGGCTAGGCATCATTTTAACAATTACATTTAGTTATCCGGGAAACCTTGATTTGTGCACATGCCGGAGAGCATTGGGACAGTTCACCATTTCCCCTGTTTCTCCTCTCCATGCCCCCTGCCAGGTTGGGCTTATTACTCTCTGTGATCCTGACTCTCAATAGAGAAGTCTTGACTGGGAGAGAGGGAAGCCAGGTTCTAGTTAGGATTCATCCAGGATCTCAATCCTCATTCAGGGTTGGTGGCAGGGGATGGGATCCGGGGACCCTCTCAGCTTGGCTATTGGAGGCTACTTCCCTCGATCACCAGGATATATCAGTTTCCATGACCTCTTCCTCCCGGCTTCTACAATTTTCAGCTAGGAGGCGGCGGAGGCCATAAGTTAGGGCCCTAGTGATGCCCCAGCGGCACGGTGCCTGCCGGCTCTACCTGGGGGTCTGGGGCAGAGGCTTCAGTGGGAGCATCCCGCAGTGGCCTTACTTCCCCGCTGACTTACAAGCACGTGTGCTCAGGTGCTGGCCATCAGTAACCCATATGAGAACATGTGCTCACCTACGACTTCTGAGCTCAAGTTCCATGGACAGGCTGCCTCCCCCTCAGAAGACCAAGGACCCCTGCCTGAGACAGCCCTCTGTGTTAGTCCTTATCTGTCACCGCTGCCTGGAGGGAGGGAGCCAGGAGTTGCAGCTGGAGGGGACATTCTCAGAGCATCTTTGCAGCTCCCATAAATTCCCAGCTGCGCCGGCCCTCTCCCCCTGCAGCCCTTGCCACTGCCTCCCGAGTGTGTGTGCCGGCCACCTGAGGGGCCCGGTCAGCTGAATTGTCCTTCCTAGTGCTGCTCCCTCTGCCCGGAACCCCTTCCCCCTTAGGCTAGCTAACCTGCCCCTCCCCCCAGGACTCACCAGCCTGCCACCTCCCAGGTTCCCCTGGGACGTGCTCTCCTGGCAGCCCGTCCTGCACCCCCTCCACTGTCTGTTCCCCCACACAGGTGGTGATTGCGTCTCTCCCACCCAACAGCAAACTCCTTGGAGGCTGGAGAAGCCCCACTCAGAGCAGGTCTCCCCGCTTGGAAAGCAAACCCCACCAAACAAAATCGCAGCCTAAAAGCCAAGTACTACCTAGCGTTTACATCGAGTGAAAAGAACAAAGCGAATTCCTAACTCATGCCTCTGCTGCGTTAACTGGGCACCTAAGTCAGGCCCTCTCTGAGTGCCCGTGGGCCTGGCCCAGGAAGGGCTCTGGAGCGTGGACAGGACGGGGAAAGACCTGCACGTGTGTGTGTGTGTGTGTGTGTGTGTGTGTGTGTGTGTGTGTGTGTGTCTCTCTCTCTGTCTCTCTCTCTCTTTCTCTCTCTCTCTCTGTGTGTGTGTGTGTGTGTGTGTGTGTGTCTCTCTGTCTCTCTCTCTCTCTCTTTCTCTCTCTCTCTCTCTTTCTCTCACGGCCGCAGGTGAGCTCAGCTCCACACAGGCAGTGGTCCTGCAGTGAATACCGTCTGAAATAATTTCAGAGTATTTTATCTGACTGTAATATACTCTGCCTTCGTTCTGTGCTCTTTCCTTAGATCCAGTGCCATCTCCGTTGTGAAGATTCTGAGGGTCTTAAGGGTCCTGCGGCCGCTCAGGGCGATCAACAGAGCAAAAGGACTTAAGGTTTGGGTTTCTGCCCTCCGGTCCAGGCTACTTTGGTTGGGGGCCAGAGCTGGGCTGAGGCTTGATGGGTTTTATATTGTTATATGTTTGGAAAGGATATTTCTAACCAGCAACACTGCCTCTGGCAAGTGCTGAAGGCATTTTACAAATGATTTTCTTTATCTTTGTTAATTTATTTTTCTTAACGTGATTACTGTTTATCACTTTTAAAAATTATTAATAATATTTTCTTGGGTTTATTTTGGTCTTTAAATCTCTTCTCATACAGGTCGTATAAAAGGTCTGAGGTTTTGCATTTTCCTGAGTCCATGTGTGGGGGGCCAGGGTCCGTGTGGACCTGTGTGTCAGGCAGTGCTGCACCCCCTAGCATTTCTTCGGACTAAGCCGCTTTGGAAGAGACCAGGGAGGGGCTGGTCTACAGGGGTGCTTCTCCCAGGTGGCCATGATGCACCAGGCGTAGCTCGCCACAGATAACTACCTGAAAAACAAGTGCAAGGGAATGCAAATTTGGAAAATCATATAAAAATGCACATAAACATTAGAAACTCTTGGCCGGTGTTAGGTCACCCAGAGGCTGAAACCACAGAGGCAGGTAAACCTCCTCTGCCTTCCCCTGGCTCCTCTCTCCCCAGCACGTGGTCCAGTGTGTCTTCGTGGCCATCCGGACCATTGGCAACATCATGATCGTCACCACCCTTCTCCAGTTCATGTTCGCCTGCATCGGGGTCCAGTTGTTCAAGGTACGGGGAACGTGCCTTCTGGCATGAAGCCCAACCAATCGCTTTGCAGGGAGCTTGCATTTGACTGCTTGTGTGTTTTATATGTAGGGAAAGTTCTATCGCTGTACAGATGAAGCCAAAAGTAACCCCGAAGAGTGCAGGTGAGTGTCCTGAACACGAGAGTGGGGAATGAGGAAGAACAGATAGAAAAATTTCAAGGATCTGCTTGTGCTAACATTTCAGAAGTTTTCATCATGGACTGCAAGAAGCTTGTGTGCTCAGCTCATGGCTGGAGAGATGGAGATGATGGTGGTTTTATTTGAAGTGACATTCACATATCATAAAAGTAATCATTTTAAACTGCGCGATTCAGTGGTGTTTAGTACAATCACATTGTGGTACAAGCATGGCCTTGGTCTAGTTCCAAACCTTTGTCACCCCCAAAAGAATGGATAGATGGCTTTCCATGTTTGCCATAGAGTCTCTAAATGGGGAGAGGGAGTGCACTAAAGCCTAAAATAACAATTATGAACTGCCCCAGAGAGCCCTTCCCTCCAGCCACGTGGATAATTTTTCCCCACACCAGAACTCTGAAGCTCAACTCCCTGGCATTCAGGAGCTGGCTAGCCCCTTCCAACAGGTTCTCCAGGCTACGTTTCTCCCCTTGCTCCTGGCAAGCACATTTTGGGCATATTTTTCTTTACAAGAACGGACAGGGGAGAGACAAGGTGGGAAACACCTGTGTCTCTTATCCCAAGATGTCCAGAACATGAAGTCAGGCACAGAACCACTGCCCAGAGTTGTAAGACCTTGTGGTAGTCTGTGTTTCCCCATCCTTTGGGGATGGCACCACTGAGGTCGGGCTGCTTGCACAGCTTGCATGTATTTGGGGTTTCTTTCCACCAGAAGGTGCAGTCAGAGTGTGCTGGCTGCGCATGACTGTATGTGCACCTCCAGGGCCGCCATCTGTGCAGGCTGGGGGGCAGGGGACGCCCCCTGCTGTTGAGCGGCATGGCAGCAGGCGGAAGACCCCTTTTCTCTCACTGAGCCTCTGCTTCCCTGTGACATAAAGACATGGCCCCTTTCCAGAAATGAAATTCAATGACAAATTCTGTGTACCAGAAATTACAGAATTATTTTAGAAAGAAAACTGGGAATATTTTTAGTACAGAATGAACGTCTTTGAGGACAACCAAAATGCAGTTAAGAGGATACCTGGGCTTGTTTCCCAGAGCTTCCAGAATTCTCCAGGCCAGAGCTTCTGATCCTTCAGTGTATGCTCTGAGGCCCTTGTATATGAGAGGTGTTTATCATTCGGTAGGTTTCATTTCTTATCAGGTGTATGCTGGCTGTCTGCCTAGTTGTTCTGGAGGATGCTCATTAAACTAGTAGGTACTTGATTATTCGGACCTTAGAGTAGATTTAAATGCAGGGCACGAGGAGGACAAACTCACATGGTGCTCAGCTGTGGGGCCTGGACGGGGGCTTGGGGCAGCTGTGACTGATTGCATGTCAAGCCAGGATGACCCACACTTCCTTTCCTCTCTAGGGGGCTTTTCATCCTCTACAAGGATGGGGATGTTGATAACCCTGTGGTCCGTGAGAGGATCTGGCAAAATAGTGATTTCAACTTTGACAACGTCCTTTCTGCTATGATGGCGCTGTTCACGGTCTCCACATTTGAGGGCTGGCCTGCGTAAGTATAGAGAACATCTTGAGAGTGTCCCAAGCCAGCCAGCCAGCCAGCCAGCCAGCCAGCCATCCATCCATCCATCCATCCATTCATTCATTCATTCCATCTTCATTCCTAGTTCAAACATGTGCCGGACATGGATGGCTGCCACCGTGCCATGTCTTTGACCCACTCACTCACTCATTCATAAGAGGTGCTTTTGGTACCGGCCTCATGCACTATGCTGTGTCGAGCACTGTGGAAGAAATGGTTGTCTCGACATGTTCCTCCCTTTGAGGCCCAAACTCAGAGTCTCAGGCAGTTAGACCAGGCAGGAGGGTCTGTTGCATCAGAGATGTGCAGAGTAGGGTTCTGAAGAATGGCTAGGATTCTGATGAGTAAAGTTTAAAAAAAAAAAAAATCCAGGAAGAAGGGAAAAGGTAGACTACAAAAGGAACATCTCTTGCTCCTTTGTTACTCTGTGCTCTGACGCCCACACTAGCTCCTGCCACCTGAATGGACATGCGTGCACGGCTTCTGATGTCAAGTTGCCACACCCAGAAGAACGGCAAAAGGTGGACGGGCTGGTTCTCCGGGGCGTGGCAGAACTCTCTGGCTGCATGGGAGAGTCGGAGTTACTGACAGGAGATCCTGTGCAGTGTGAGGATAGTTGGGTGGGGCTTGTTCATTAGGGAATTGGTCTGGGGAGCAGAGAGGCAGGAACGAGCCCCTTCACTCTGGGGGAGGCACTGGCTGCAGTCTTGGGTTTTCAGCGTGTGCTTTAGTTAACCAGGGTGGCAGCCGAGGGGAAACCACTGGACTTGGGCCTTGCCACTCGGAGCAGCAGGGCTCGTCTCCTGGCTCTGCCCCCAAGGAGTGTGACTTTGGTTACTTAGATCCCTCCCTGAGCTTGTTGGGGATGACTGTAATGTCTGCTTTTCTAGATGGATGGGAAAGTGGCTAGCACAGTGCACCATGGGGTGGGTGCCTTGGCAGTGCTGAATCTACATCAATATGGGGATAAATTTAACTTGGGGATGTTACAGTAATTCCCCCCCCCGCCTCCTGTTGAGAGTTCTGCTTAGTGTATATTTAATTTCTGTGTATATTTCAGTTTGGGGAACCTCTCTTAGTTCTTTGGAAATCCCGGGTTGCTTGCTTATTCTCTTCATTGGCATATGCACAGTTTTCAGTTCCACAAATGTCTTACACGTGGTGTCCTTCCTCTCTCCCACCAGGAGAAAGGAGCACTGTTGAATGGCTGTGAAATCTTTTGTTTTTCAGCCCTCAAAATATCAATCCCCAAATGCATCTCAGGTGTTCCCTCTCCACGGTGCTGGACCAACTGGGCCTAATGCCAGCCAAGGAGGGTGCCTCAGAGACCTGTGTGCATCCAGGGGCCTTGGGTGGGCTCCCGGGGAGGGCTCTGACGGGCAGGGCCCACGGAGGCGGTCAGAAGAGGCGCCATGGTCGGGCTGCTTGGGCTGAGCAGGGGACAGGACTCACCTGGTCCTTCTGTTCTCCAGGTTGCTGTATAAAGCCATCGACTCAAATGGAGAGAACGTGGGCCCCGTCTACAACCACCGCGTGGAGATCTCCATTTTCTTCATTATCTACATCATCATCGTTGCTTTCTTCATGATGAACATCTTTGTGGGCTTCGTCATCGTCACATTTCAGGAGCAGGGAGAGAAAGAGTATAAGAACTGTGAGCTGGACAAAAATCAGGTTAAAGTCACACACTGTTTGGGCTTCTGTCCCTTGAGCAAGAGAGGAGTGGCTTGTCTTTCGCCAGCTTCCTCCATGCCCAGAGAAGGGCGTGCGCCTGCTGGCCGTCCTGGGGCTCAGGCCCAGTTCACAGCACCCTCTCTGCCAGTTTGGGTCCTTGCTGGGAAGAGTGAGCTTCCCAGATACAAGACTAGACCTTGTCATTGTGATTCACCCCACCCTGCAGATGAGAAGTCAAAGAACGTTAGGCCACCTTCTGCGGGTGTGACTGGCTAGTGATGGCTCAGAATCTTGGTGGGGGGATGTGGCCAGGGGCCAGAAAGTACCCGCTGCCTCTCCCACTGTCCTTACGGGGGATCCTGTCTGATGATCTCCCCAACCTCAGCACTGTTGACGTTTTAGGCTAGATAATTCTTTGTTATGCTTTTGTAGGATGTTCAGTAGAATCCCTGGCCCTATACCCCCTCGATTCCAGTAGCAACCCACCGCCCTGGGTTTTGACAACCAAAAGACCTCTCTGGACATTGCCTAATGTCCCCTGCTTGAAAAACCATTGACTTAGGAAGAAGTAACCTATCCCACTGCAGGGAAAGTTACTAATGTTAAACCTGGGTCCAAGATTGCACTGGTGTCACTCTCTCGTAATCTACTGCCTTGTTTGAACCAGTCTCATAGCAGCAGGGGCCTTTGACTCTGATTGCATGAGGATGTGAGGGGGTCAGGAGAACTCCTCTCTGGGCTTGCTCCCTTCTCTCTAGATTGAGGGCACCCAGGAGTTGTTGTTAGAGGCCCGTTCCTGCCCTAACAGATGGCGAGATGGAGAATCTGTTCTGGGAGTACCCCTGGGCCCTGGCTCGGTAGCACCCTTGTTTGATGATGACATAAGGAGTGGGGGTCATCTGCCAGTCTGGGCTTCCTGAGGGGAAGTGGCCGTGGTGGGGCAGTCTGTCTTGGGCTGCAGCTGTGCCCACTGGGGTGGTGAGGACAGGGCCAGCTGGGTTTGTAGGAAGATGTTGCTTTGAGTTGTCAGGGAACTGCTTCAGATCCCATCAGTGTCAGCAGGAAGCCTGGCACAGCTCTTCATCACGCCCCCCCACCCGCCCCCGCAGCACCTCCCAGCCCCCGGAAGAAGACTATCAGGGCAAGGCCCAGACTGGCCAGGGAGCAGAGCCTGAGCTACCACTGTGTCATCTCTTGAGGTCCAGAACAGGTTCGAATTGGCGGGGGGGCGCCCTGGACTCAGTGTGTGAGGTCGCAGCAGGGCCAGATCCTGATTGGAGGGAGCCTGTCTGGAGTCAGAAGCCAGGGTCAAAGCGGGAGACTGGGAGTCAGTCTGGGTCTAGGAGCAAGTGGTGCCGTTGGCTGAGCCGAAGGGGCTGGAGGCTCCCGCTGACCTGCAAAGGGTGGACCAACCTCAGCCCCAGAGTGAGTGGGAGGGACAGTGCTCTGGCCATCGTGACTACCACAAGCTCCGGAGTCTCAGAAGGTCCCAAGGAGACACACAGCTAGTTCACCATTAGACACGTGTGGTTAATACCATCTGGCTCCCAAGAGGTGTCTCATGTGGATCGAGTCTTGGGGAGTGAGACCAGGCCCTTGGGCTCTGGAGGCTTTCTGTGCCTCTCGTTCCCTGGCTTCCTTTCCTCGAGGTGGCCCCAGGCAGAACTGCAGGCATAACGCCCCAGCGTAGAGGAAAGGCAGGTCCTCAGGCAAGGCACTTCCCAGTCTGGACCTCTGTTTTAATAAGGAAAATGGAAGCACACTGGGTGCTGCGCTTACCGCGCTCCACCCCCACCCCCAGGTTGCTGTGAGGAACCGATGAGCTGGCAGAGCTAGGGGCCTGTGGCCGGTGATGTGTGTGGTGCCTGTGGGGGTTGCTGTAGTGGCTTCCTCTGGTCCACGGTCTCTTGCGGTGGGTGTGCCCCTTCAGAGCAGACGAGACCGGTGTCCTCCTCCCATGGGTGTGCTCAGGACCCCTCCTTGCTCTTTTCTGCCGTTGCAGCGTCAGTGTGTTGAATACGCCTTGAAAGCACGTCCCTTGCGGAGATACATCCCCAAAAACCCCTACCAGTACAAGTTCTGGTACGTGGTGAACTCCTCGCCTTTCGAATACATGATGTTTGTCCTCATCATGCTCAACACACTCTGCTTGGCCATGCAGGTAAAAATGGAGACAGCCGTGGGGATCACGTCTGGGCCTTCTGCACAGCCCCCTGCCCCAAATTCTGAGGGCAGAGTGCCGCCCCCTCACAAGAGAATGCATTTGATTTTCTGATGAGTCTGGGCTGTAGTTTGGCCAGAGTCCCATTCTGGCTAACAGTTCTCACGGTAGGCGTTTAAGGTGGCTCTTTTGTTTTAAGAGACTGCCTGTACAGCGTGACCATAGGTGACATTTCCATGGGGCCTGAGCCTGGCATTCAATTCTACGAACACTTAACTGGGGGCCCCTGAGGCCAGGGAGCAGTTAAGGACTAAAGCTTGGTGTGTGTGGAGTGGGGCAGACAGGTGTTGCAATCCTGCCTTTACTCCTTACCAGCTGGGCAAGGCAATTTAAATCCCCTGAGCCTTGCTTTCTTCACTGGCAAAATGGGAAATCTATCATACCTATTATCAGAGGTAAGGTTTGCACTGGATAATTCACATCAGGCCCTTGGCGCTGGGCCCATCACAGAGTTAACACCCAATGTTGAAAAACATAAGTCACATTCCTGTCTTCAAGGAGCTCTTAGAATGGTTAGAATGGTGGTGGAGAATCTTCCAGGTCATGGAGGAGAGTTTAGCTTGCAAAATAGCTACTTCTTGCTACCCTGGGGGCAAGGCATTGACTTCCTTCAGTTGGCCAAGTTGGTATTAACAGTGAGCATTTCCAGCAGTTATACTGTGAAGTAGATACTGCCCTAGGACAGAAGCAAAGGCCAAGGTCTAGATCCTCTTTCCACACTGACTTTAAGACCTTAAGCAAATCAAACCAACTCCCAGTGCTGTCTGGAAAATGGGTCTAAAAGCCACCAGGGATACATTCTCTGGCATGTTTTTTAAATTTAAGAAGTCTTTATGAATGAGCAGGACCCCATGCTGATGTAGGGAAAAAGTGTGAGGTCAAGATGTTATTGCCTTTTATTGAACGTGGACCTAAATGGCATCAAATTTATCCCCAACCAAATCCTGTCTTTGGTCATAAGCATTTGGGTGGGTTCTGCCTTGTGCCTGGGTCAAGGCCCTGAATAGAAATCCTGGGAGGAAGGGTGGGTTCCCTTCATCCTGAGCAGAGGAAATGGATGTCTTCCCCTTCATCTTCCAATCATCCTCATTCGTCAAGGCCCCCCTGTGCTTTGTGGTGAGTTAACCGTGTGCCGTTGGAACCAGTGGAGGCTGCCTCCATGTCCAAGCAGAGGGTGGATGCCTGCAGGCAGCAGGGGGCTGGGGAGCCTCCTTTTGTGAGGCTGGCTGGGCTGGGCCCCTGAGAACCATTCCTCTGCCTTTGTCCACAGCACTACGAGCAGTCCAAGATGTTTAATGACGCCATGGACATTCTGAACATGGTCTTCACTGGGGTGTTCACCGTTGAGATGGTTTTGAAAGTCATCGCATTTAAACCTAAGGTGAGTCTCTGAGCCCACTTCTCAAAGGCTGTTGCTGAATCGCTCTAGAGGAGCACACGCTTCCTGTTCATCTTGTGTTACCGAGTGACGCTGAATTGTTGGGGCTGATAACTGGGTTATCACCTGAGAACATTCAAATCTGATTAGGGCATCTGGGTACATATGGGAAAACAAAACTACAAAACAAAACCTCATGAAAAGAATTCTGAGAAAAAGAAGAAGGGGGGACAGAATTGGGAATTTGTAGAATAGAGATGGTTTTGAAACCGGGTTTTCTCTCTAAAAGAGCCCATCATGCTGTCTCAGGGAAACTGGCCTTATTGCTCTAGCATTAGAGAAACTGTTTTAACAGAACCCATCAGAAAGAATTCAGCCTTGATTTGACTCTTAGGTTTCCAGGAGAAAGACCTTGGTTTTATTTGTCCTTGGTCTACAGCCTCTTTTTCACCTTTTATGGAAAGTTCTACCATTTGGAGAGCGCTTACCATTTATTTGACTTAGAAAAATGTTGCTTGACTTTAAGACAAAACAAGACATGAAATTTGTTAAACACTGTTGGACTAGTCAGCATATCGTGTCGCCTTTGGGAGGGAGCAGATCCAGCCCCATCATTATCAGCGTCTGTGGTGGAAGAGGCTGACAGAACAGTGTCTAAGAGCACACCCAACTCTGGATCCAAATCCATACTCCCCACTTGCTGATGCGAGTGAGTTCCTTAACGTTCCTTAACATTTTCCTCACCCACAAAATGAAGACACTACCAGCCCTGTTTCACAAGGTGGTTGGGAGGGGTAAAGATTTACTATCTGTGCCATGCTTAGAAGAGTGCCTGGCATGTGGTAACATGCTGTCATGTGTCAGTACTCTGACCGTGACGGCCACCACCATCATCCTCAAGTCATGATGGCCCCCTCGTTCTAAAGTGTAGATAGAGGAGCAAATTCGGGCTGAGCTGGGGGACGTTGGACCCTCGGCTTCTTTGCTAGCAAAGCCCCAAACTCTCAGTATGAGGCAGTGACAGAATCTGGGGACCCGGTTGTTGGTTCGTCTGGGCGTAAAACACCTTACGCCTAAAACACTGGTTTTACTGAGACTTGGATTATGATATGATCATTTCACATACTCCATATTTCCTTGGAATTCTAATCCAAAACTGTTCCTTTCTTTAATTTGAATTAATTTTTATGCAATCTTTATCAGATCTTTGTGGACCAAAAAGAAAGGACACTTGTAAGTGATCACTTGGGGTGATTGCAGCGGGGTCAAATTTGGCACCTTATGCATGGCCAGATGTTATGTACTGTGACTTGTCCATATCTACATACATAAACATCTCCTCCTTTTTCAAATTCATCTTAATTTCCTTTGAGAGTTTTGGTTTGCTTCCCTGTCACCTTTACTTCTCTGAACAATAGTTGTCTGGAGTGATGAAAAAGGTTGCCAAGTAAGAACATCAAAAGGACTTGAGAGAGACAACATGGAACCTACCCACTGAACGTTTCTAGATCCCCTTGCCTTGTCCTCCCTTGCCTGGTGATTAAGCTCTGAAATGTTTCAGAGCTTGCTCTGGGCTGAAGAGAAGACACACTCGCCCATGGCATGTGTGCGTGAGAGTGCGTGTGTGTCCGTGTGTGAACGCGCACCCGCCAGCGGGCCCGTGCACCAAAGGGCTCATACACCCCTCTGCCCAGTAAACCACTGATATCAAACCTGGGAGGAGGGTTTTGGTGGTATGTGATCAAACTGGTGATATCAGGAGGGAAATGAGTAGCTAATTTTTAATCAGTACTGATTAATCAGAGTTTTAAAATGAGTGATTTCCGCTAGAAATTGTGCTGCTTTGTTGTTTTGCCCAGCAAGATATTTCCGTAGCATGAAACAGCAATAGGAGCATCTCTGTGCTTGAGGAGTGCTATTTCTGCGCTCACCGAAGCCAGGATAGACAGATTTTGTGTTGAGGATGGCGAGAGAATCAGTTCACCAAGAAATAAAGCCCTTCACGTATTGCATGGAGCACTGGGTGTTATATGCAAACAATGAATCGTGGAACACTACATCAAAAACTAACGATGTAATGAATGGTGACTAACATGACATAATAAAATAAAATTAAAAAAAAAAAAGAAAGAAACAAAACCCTTCTTAAAATGCTCCCTGACTTTTCCTTGTTTTTCCTCTTCTGGGTTGACAAAGCAAGCCCAGGGGAGTAGGCTTTGACTAAGAAGCCGGTGAGACCCCTCCTCTCTCATCAGAGGGAAGTCGGGCTGAGGAGCAAGGTCATAGAGGCTGCCAAAGGGAGAGTCTTCCAGGAGATGGCCGCATGGGACAGAGGGCCGCGTGGGAACCCTAGCCTGTGGGTCTCCTCTCAGGAAAGCCTTTGTCTCTGTGAGGAGTTGGTTACAGGGCCCTTTGGGGCAGTGTTCTCCACAGTGAGGGGCACACCTTCTAGGAAAACTTGCCAGCATCTGTCAGGAGAGATGGGGTTGCTGCTGTCCTGGGATTCAGATACAGAAAGTGAAGCTGGACAAAATCCTTTCCGAAGGAATGGGAAGGCACTGTGAGGAGGATGGGTTAAAAGAAGTCGGGAAACCTGACCGTGGGGACTTCCGTATTCAAGAACCTGCCAGAGAGGTGGGGCCTGCCAAGAGCACACATTTAGGGAGAAGTGGCTCGAGGACTCAGCAGGTCAGGTCATCCCGCCTCCATAAGCAGGGAGGGGAGGGTTGAGGTGGAGAGGCAGAGGTAGGAAACCCAGAGCTGGGGAGCTGCCCTGGCCGGGGAAGCAGCCTCACCGAATGGGAAGAGCTGTTCTGAGCATTGGTTCTAGGCAAGAGTGCGAGGTGGCAAGAAGCCAAAGAGCAGAATTAGGGGAAAGCAAGGAGGCTGTTGAGTGTATTACATCTACTCCCCAAGGGAAAACCCACCATCTGGCATTGACCTTGCATACTCTAGATTGTGCTTTTGACTGGGAGGTGACTGTGCCATCCTAGGCTTTTAAAAGGGAGGTCCTAACTGAAGTAAGATAAGCCCACTTCCCTGGCCTTTCCCTCTGGTACTCCCAGGGGAAGCCACTGGACGTGTCTGATGAATTCTCTTGCTCCAAGGAGGGAAACTGAAGAAGAAGGGCCTTCCCCAAAGTACTGTCTCCTGCAGGAATAAAGAGCACTTCCAGTTTGCTGGGGCTCCCTCTTTGTGCTTCTGGTTGTCACCTGCCTTTGTCCAGCTTAGCTGCCTCAGCTGCGGGCTTTTCCCCAAAGAGCCACGCTTGGTTCCCAGGTCTGCATTTTGATCTTGGTTCTACCTTGAAAATGACTAATTTGTACTCCTGGCCACTTGGGCTTTGGAGAAGTAAAGGGTAGTTGGGTTTGGGGGAAGAGGAGAGTATTTTGGAGCTGTTCTCCTCTGCCAGTGCAGAGCCGCTGTACCGTGGACACCAGCATTGGTACCACCAGCCTCCTGGGATGGCATTCCCTGTCCCAGGGCCCCTGGCAGGAATATAGGCTCTTAACAAAGTGTTAACAATCTCTTTGGAGGACACCCTCCATCTCCTAGAAAGAACATCTGATAGTCTTTACAGTTTGTCAGTGACCACATCTCTTTTAGGTGATCTATTTTAATGCCAAATAATACTTGAGACCAAACATTCTTCTCCTTAGCTAGAACGTTGCGCCAGACCTCGTGGGCTCGGCCTTTGTCTTCGATGTCAGTTTCTCAGGGTGCTCTCCTGGTCCCCTTCTCCCATGGAAAATGCTTTACAGGCCCAGAGCTTCTCCGGCCATCCGTGTCATCCAGACCTCTCCTGCCCCTCCTTTCCCTGGACTGCTAAATTTCCCCCAACCCTCACCCCCGCCCAGCCCCTCTCTGCTCATCTTCCACAACGAAACTCTGGTACCAGCCACCTGTTGCCTGAGCAAAAACAAACAAACAAACAAACAAACAAAAAACCACACCTTAGAATTTTCTTAGTCTCATGTTCAAAGTCCTCCACCAAACCTTGGCCCATTTGCACTTCTGCCTTGCTTCCCCTGTCATTCCTTCTACACTCCCCACCCCTAGCTGTTAAGCCAAACCTTTCCATGGCATGGGCTTCTGTATATGGAAGCCCTTCTTTTGTCTTGTTATTGCTTGAGGCCTGTATGAAATGTGGGTTCCTCTGTGACATCCTCCCTACCAGTTCAGCCAAAGTCTGTTCTTCCCTTCACCTGCATGTCCACTAGATGCTTACTGGGCGATGTCATGATCAATACTTCTTTGAATCTCTCCGTTAACTGCTGAGAGGCTGCTTGAGGTCACAGGCTGGGTCTCCTGCGTCCCACACAATGCCTGCTCCATGCTGGCCGCTCAGTAAGGGTGGGTGGGATGAAGAAAGGCATAAACAGATGAGCCTGTAGGTGCAGCCTCTTGACATGAGATGGTACGCAGGGTATTTTCTGTCACAGGATATTTGATCGGAGTAGAGTGGCCAAAGGTGAATGCTTTCCTGTAAGCCCCCACTTGACCTCTGGAAAGGCTTGTGCTAGTTAGAAAGCTGTCAGTTATGGTATCTACCGAAATCTGGTGCTGTGGGTCATCTCTTGGGTCCAGCACTGCCCAAATAGTCCCCAGCAGAAATTGCTGAGTGACCTGGCTGCCATGGTAAACCACAAAACCGGGTGATTTGTGAGGGCTCCTTCAGATCTGCAGATGAGAGGGACTCCAGGCAGCAAAAAGAACCCGGACTCGGGCTGCTTCTCTTATTTCTGTTCCACACACATTACCCCCCGCCAACACGTTACCCCTCCGCACACGCACACGCACACGCACGCCACACCTGTGTGCTATATCCCGGCTGGAGTTCCAGCTCTGCTTCCAGGACCCCATAGTCAGGAGCAACGTGGACAGACGTCTGTCTGACAGACTCTCAGAGTTCTTGGAAATCTTGAAAGTTCCTGGCTCTAATGCCCACATGAGTCTGCTTTATGATTTAAAATTTCTGAGTCAGACATGTTTCTGAATAATAGAGATTATCACATGTGGCTGACTTGCGTAGTCTTTCCAAGCCTGTAGGACTCGACAAAAAATAAGAGTTGACTCTGGCTGAGTGCTAGGGACTGCTGGTTCCACTTGAGGGGCCCTGGCCTGGGCATTCAGTGGCAGGAGAACCTGTCATTTTTGGCCAAGAGAAGAGGGCACGGGGATGGGTCCTCTGCCAGAAGCGCTTTGTCTCATCTTCTGGTTGCCCAGACACTGTGGTGACTTTGGTGGGGAAAGGGTGGGGGACTGAGTCATGCTCATTCGACAGTGATTTGATCACATACGAGGCTACTAAACGGAATCAGATGTGGGGAGAAAGAGAGCCTGGCTTTTTCTGCCTCCGCTGGCCCCCTGGCATAGCCACCTTGTCTGAGCTTGTGATTCCAGCCACCTGCATCAGCTCGAGCCTCCCGTTGTCTGCATTAGGGGTAGGTACCTTCAGTCCAGGAGTCCTCTAGGACTTGGGCACGATTTGTGAGTGTGCGGGGTCTTCTGAAGAGAGTTGACGAGATTGCCAAAATGTTCAAGGACCCCAAATGGGAAGCCCCTATTGCATTGGTTTAAGGTGATTTCATGTACCACAGTGGACCAGAATGGGCCAGTTGGAGGATAGTGTGTAGGCCAATGGGAATGATTCAGAGGTAAGTACTGATAATTCTGGAAAAGCAGGGGAGGAGCTATTCAGGAATAAAGTCCAAAGTTGGGGCGCGGGTGGTGGCCTTGGCCTCAGGTGAACAGCCTACTGTAGTGGGAGGAGTAGCACGTGGGGTACAGCTGTGGGCGGGGGCTGGTCTTGTGCCTGGACAGGAGAGGAGGAGGAACTCAGGGTCTTCAGCTGCTCTCCATACCCCGGAGGCCTGACTGTTACAGGCGCCCAGCTGTCTCAGTGAGGCATCAGCTCCTCTCTAGGGGAGATGGGAACGATCACCAAACTCTCCTTAGCTTTGGAGATGCTGTTAAATCCAGGAAGGGAAGGCTCTGGTCCTCAGAGTAGCTTGTGGCACGGCTGCTGGTCAAATGCCTGTTTGTCACCTATCCACACAATGTAAATAAGGGACCCCGACACCCCCACGGCAGCGCTTAGCACTTGACCCAAGTGACTTTTGTGTTAGGAGGTCTTCTCTGTGAAGGAAGTGATGCGCTCCTTTGGGTCCAGGCACAAGCTCTTGTGTCCTGACCAGCCAGTGTGACCAGCATGCTCAGTGGCTCTAGTCTAGCCCTCAGAGTGGCTGGCCTTGCCCCAGTCTGCCAGCCAAGAATCACAGAGCATTGGGAAGAAAAGCTAGAAGGTGCAAAACGTGGTGTTCATTAAGACTTGACTTGTATACACAGGTCGGCAGGGTTGATGCAGGCAGAATCCCTTTGTTTACTTGTTGGAGGCCTGAGATGAGGGGTCTGGGCAGATGCCAGTCAGTGAGGCAACGTGTGACAGAGAAGGGGAGGGGAGAGGTGAAGAGTGGGTCAGAGGTCATGGCAGGTTGGGTGGGAAAATCTTACATCATTTAAGATGAAATTTTTTAAAAGTCCAAACCATCAATTAGTGTCCTAGCTCCCCCGTAATTGTACTTGGAGTGCATGATCAACAGTAACTAGAACAAACAGCCCCACTCCAGTTATTAGGATTACCAACACGTGCATACTTTCTATCGTGTCATCAAAGGTTGGGGCTCAGCAGTGGCTTTCTTGGGGCCTGCATGTGATCACAAGTTGATGGGACCTGAAACTTCAAAGTACCTTCTGTTCTGGTTTTCTTTATCCTCACTAAGTGTACCCAGTTGTAACCATGCTTGGCCCCTTTTTATATATTTCAGAACTGGATTTTTTTTTTTTATTTCCAAAACATGTTCCAACTTTTTGAAAAGAGTTGATTTTCAGATAGAGTCGTCGACCATGCAACCAGAAGCCTCTATGCGTAGTGCCCACCCCCACCCTTCTGACCAAGAGTTTCCAGGGGCTGTCAGGAGACAGCAGGCATGAATTTAGCACCTACCGTGTGGAGCCCACGAGAGCGCATACATAAAATGTATGCCACATAGATATACACGGATTTATAAGCCACAGTCAGACATCGTGCCTTCATGCTTGTTGCAAGATAGGAGGATCTGAATGATGGTAGGATGCTAGGTCAGTGGAAGAAAGAGACATTGCAGTGTGTGGAGCAATGGGATCAAGGCTCTGGGGTAGAGAGTGGGGCTAGTGGGGGAGGGGACGGAAGAGTCAGCATGGTACTCATCCTCAGAGGGCTTTCAGTGGGTTAAAGCTGCAGACAGAGACCCCAAAATCAGTGACGAGGACACGTGAGAGGCAGAGCAGAGATCAGGAGGATCTGAAAAGGTCCCTTCAAGGAGCTGGCATTTGGTCTGACCTTGGAGGAAGTGGATTTGGGCAGAGTCAGGGTGGAGAGGGCTGGGATTGCTGTTGCCGCTGAGAGAGGGGGAAGAACCTGTTGGTGCTTCTGAGGGATGGCAAGGAGTCCTCCTAGCCTGGAGGGTAGAGAGAGAAGGGAGGAGAGCTGGGGTACAGGGAGGATTCTCTCGAGGCCAGTGAGAGCCTTAGTGCAGCATCACCCTTGACTGTGCTTTTCCCTCGTAAGACCTGTGTGGGCTCCCTACACAACCCCCTTACCCACAGACCGGAGTGACTACCCCCCCGCCACGCTGTGCCCTGGACTGCGTGCCTCACTGTGCCTCTGTCCCAGTGAGGCCAAGGGCTCTATGAGGACAGAGCACACCCTTCATAATCCTTGCACTGGTGAGGAGCAGGAGGAGCTACTGATTTGTTTTAAGAGCACAGAAAGAACGTGTGAAAGGCTGGTCACGGTGCTCTTTAATTGGGAGAAGAGAAAAAACTTGGGGAAGGAGTAGGGGGAGGGCCTGCTGACTCTTCTGTGTAAGGGTTGCAAACTTAGAAGGGCCGCACACCCTCTTGTGACAGCTTGAAGTTGTGACCCTAGTTGCACCGGCAGGGTTTTCAGAGGCGCCTCTGCCCTGCACAAACTCCGCTTGGTCTGGGGCCGCTCGGGGCCATGGGTCTGCACTGCGCGTGCGTGCGTGCGTGCGCGTGCGTGTGTGCGTGCGCTGTGCCTGTGTGCGTGCGTGCGCGCCCTCTCTCACACATGCAGGTGCCCCCCAGCCTGTGTCCCTTTCCGCCAGTCAACGGTACTGTTGCCTCCCTTTGGCTCTCCCACCCCACCTGGTTGCCATGGGTACGGCGGGGCCTCCGATATGTCCCCGTATGATCCGTGTGGCGTTTCCATTCCTACGTGCTCATAAACGTCTGCCCCCTGCCTGCTCTGTCCAGGGGTATTTTAGTGACGCCTGGAACACGTTTGACTCCCTCATCGTAATCGGCAGCATTATAGACGTGGCCCTCAGCGAAGCCGACGTGAGTATGCGCCCGCCGTGGCCGCCCGCCTCGTGTCCTCTCTCTGTCTGCACATTCCGCTCCCCGCCCCGCACTGGCATCACCTGGACAAGTCACAGGCCCCAACCTCACTGGATCTAAAACCAGGAATTTCCTCACGAGAGCTGTGGACAAGAGGCTTGTGAGGGTCGAGCTTTATCCCAGGCCTTTGCAGACACAGAGCACCTTTCGGAGGGCTGACCCGGGCAGCATTTCCCGAGTCGCTGGTAGGCAGGGCAAGACAGGCGTCTCTCATTGTTTTTATTTGCTGTGTCAGCAGCAACACCCAAAGTGACGTACCTATAACATGTTTGTTTTAGGGTGATTTTTTTTCAAGTAGCCGGGTGGCATAATGCTAGAATGTTCCCTTTTTATAACACTGTCCTTTTCTTCTTTTTTCCTGTTGTGCTTCCTCTCCTCTGTGGCTTCTGAATGCTTGCCCTAACAGCACTATTTCACTGATGCATGGAACACTTTTGATGCCTTAATTGTTGTTGGTAGCGTCGTTGATATTGCTATAACTGAAGTGAATGTAAGTAGCAAACTTTGTGTCCTGTGACGTGATTGTTTCTGTTAAGTCTGACACTCAGGAGCCTAGAAACCGTATCCATGGGTCTCTCTACACTTAAGAAATTCAGGCATACATTTATTTTAGAAGACGAAGAACATTTTGTAGCCTCCCCTCCCGCGCCCCGCCCCCTTCCCCTGAAAGAGAGTAGAGAAGGAAATGTAGAATGGCCATTTTGGAGCCAAACATTATTTTAAAAAGAGAAGTTCTTAGGAGCCTGTGAAGGGCCGGGAGTTAATTTATGTGAGAATGTGAACATTAGCACGCGCTAGCTGTGTGACCTCGGCTGGGCACCTGACTGCCCTGTGCCTCAGATTTTTCCAGCTGCAAAATGGGGTTCATAATGTGTGCCCTGGTACCTACAATGGTTCTGTGAAGGGAAGGGGGGCGGGGCTTCATAGCCACGCCATGAACACGTGACTGCTGCTGCCTTCACCTGTATCATGTGCACCTGCCGAGTCTGACTAGTGACACTGGGGAGTACCCTGTCCTAGCTCCCCAAACGATGGTGATCTCATGGACCAGGGGAAGGAGGGCTGAGTGTGTATGAGGACAGGGTGTCCATTCTCCTCTGTTGCACTTGATTGAGCCCTTTAATAAGGAAACAAGTGCAGCAGCAGTGTGGTAGATGGAGTGACCCACCCTTCCAGAACCATCCTGAGAACCCTCCTTCAAAATTAAGAGGCTCCAGAAAGGGGAGCACTGCCCCCTTTCCAGTCGTTCTTGGATCTAACCCATGCCTGAACCAGAAGGACCTGAGGCCGGCACAAATGGCCCTGCTCACCTGGTCTGTCCCCAGTTTGTCACAAGTCTTAGTGGGTGTCCAGTGTGTGTGCCCCAGTTGTGTAGAGCCCGTGCCGGGGATGAATGGAGCATGGGGTGGGACTGCTGTGTGGTGTTGACTTCCTGCTCCATGTGGCCAGCCCTGCCCTCCTCCCCCACCCCTGGCTGGGAAGGGACCTCCTTGCTCTGCCTGGCTGACATCTGCAGGATTGTACGGCCCATCCTGGTGTCCAGACAGCCTGTATCAAATAAGGATGGTGCAGTCCCTCTTTATGCCGCTGCTTTGGGGCTAAGCTAAGCCTAGATCACAGACCAGTGGGACGGCCACTGGCCCGGCACTCCTAAGGCCTGACAGTTCTGGTCTTGGTTCAAAACTGACTTGTTGGACCTGGGCCTCAGTTCCCCCATGGATCAGCTGGGGCAAATGATATCTGCCCTCCCTGCTTCATAGGTGTGTCGGGGGGATAAAATGATGCAGATATTTGTGAAAATACTGGTTACAAAACTCGAAGTATTAGGGAGATAAAGGCTATTATCCAAGTGTAGACTTTCCGTGGACTAACAAGTGAAATGGACTGTAAGACATGTCCACGAGGGTGTGATGTATGCCTCACAACACCCCAATCCATGCCATGACAAGGGACTAAAGTGGTATTTTCCTAGACCCAGGAAGATACATCCCCCAACCTCCGTGAGCCCAGACTTAGATAAATTGCACTTTATGTGAAATATCCCATAACTCAGCTATAAAATTGTCATTCAAATGTGTAAATTATGCTTGGTTATAAAATAATCTAATGCTAATGGCAGAACAGCAGGACCCTAACTGGGCTGCCATGAGCTCTCTCCTGAGTTTATGACCAGACGTTGCCTGCTTAACCATCTCCTGACGTAAATTACTTACAACCTTTGTCAAAGTCTGCTTACGTGAAAATTCTGGCACAGACCCTTACGTAAGTCAGAGATGGTCTGTAATGGAAATGAAAATAGAATAAACTACAGTTTCAGCAGTTCTCCCTGGAGTGCTTTGTGCTGAAAGGGATGTGCAGGTGGTGGGCATAAATGCTGGGTTTCTGGGTACCAGGATGTGGCCGAGGTTTGTTCACTGAGCCAGCAAGCCAGCTCTCCAATGCCTCATTCCCTGCCCCCCCCCCCCCGCCGCTGGCTGGCTGGGTGTGGCGCTGGTGCCCTCAGTTGACAGCACGTGCCCAGCTTTCCGGCTGCCCCTTCATATGCTGGGGGCAGGAGCACACCGTGCCTGTCCCCTCTGGCCCCACCTCGCTCATCAGTGTCGCAGACATATCCTTCTTCATGTGTTATCCGTCAGGAAAGCTGCAGTGGTACAAAAACGCACACCGAACTTTCTAGTTAGCTATTTGACTTTGGGGTGTCTGCACAAAACAGGCTTTCATTGGGCCCATTTCTGGCACTCCATCAGACTTTCAAAATCACGCCGGTGACCATTCTCATGCCATTTTCTAGTCAGTGACTTTTCCCCTGGTCAGATATAGCCCGAGACAAAAGCTCCCTCGGCTGGTGGCAAAACCAGCTGTCCACCCTAGGCCAACAGAACCCCTTGGGAGGTCTCAGCAGTTCTGGGCTGGGCCGCAGTGCAGGGCAAATGCTCAAAGCCACCTTCTCATGTATTCAGTCTCTCAACACGTGTGTCCAGTTTGCAGGCTATGGGCACAAAGATAAAAGAGACTGGATGTCCTTAACTTCTGATGGTATAACTGTTAATGGTGGAACTGCTAATTCCTCCAGCCCCTTCTCCCACACATGCCAGGTTCCCCAGAGGAGCAACTCACATCCTATCCCTGGGCTGGCCTTACCCCCCAAGCTTCTGGGTCAGCTCAGTTTGAACACCCTTCGTCCATGTTGGCTGTTTTTAGCTACGATAAGTTATCATTTTCTGCAATATTTAACTTGCTGTGCTCTCTCCCCCAACCTCTGTTGATCTTTCTTTTCTGTTGCCTAATTGATTTTCATGTTGGTTTTATTTTTAGAAAATTGTAGCGGCAAGTATATATAAACATATATACGGTGATGTCGTTGTTAAAGCAAAAGCACTTTAAAGACTGTATACCTGTTTGTGGCTTCCCCACCTTTGGTTTTCACTGAGTTTCACAGGGTGTGCTATTTATGGGTCGTGGTCATCTAAATTGTTTCCCATCCCCTGGGTCCCCGTCTCCATCTGGGGTCTGGGCCAGGGCCATCTTGGCCAGTCATGCTTGGCTGTGTGGCTTGCCAGCATTGTCTTCAAGAATGATTGATCTAGCCTGCAAATGAGAAATCTAGCTTGCGTTTGTAGTTTGCAAAAACATTTTGGATGGCCCTTTCTGTTGTCCTGCTTGATGCCCCCTCAGCCCCCTTCTGCTGCCCCTGCCTATGTACCTCCCCCCCACCCCTTGCTCTGACCATGGTTTGATGGCTCTCACAGATTTGTCTTTATCACATCTGGTCATAACATCATCAAGCTGCTAAAATGTCAGATGATGACTGGCAGGCTCACCTTTGCTCACCCTCGGATGCCTCTTGGTGCCTCGAATGGTAAAATGACCCAGCACCCCACTTTCCCTAACCCGGGCAGTGGCTGTTGCCAGCACTGAGTCCTTTCCCACTATCATTATTGCTGGGGCAGCCAAATACTTGTGCAGAAGCTATGACTGCCTTGTTCTTACTGAAGGCATGTGAAAAGTTAGTAAGGAGCTCCCTCCCAGGGGCCCAGGAATTGTCCCTGACCTGGTGACCGACAGCTGTACTCAGCTTCTGGTTGTTCAGCCCTCCGTTCCAGGTGCCAGCCTTTTTCTGGGGACCAGGTCACTGATTTCTGGACATAGGCTCAGCATTCCCATATACAGAAGCTGTCTCTCCCAGAAGTGTTATGTGTCAGGTCAGAAGTAGCCAGAGGGAGGCTCTTCCCCACTCCCACCTCCAAAGAGCAGGTTCTCCAGCATGTTCTGTGATGCTGGTTCGCTTCCTGTCTGGAGTGGAAAACCACATCATCTAAGCCTTTCTGGGAAGAGATGGGGATTAATACAGCAAATGCGGACTGGTCTCTTTGGTTGCACTTGGGAAGCTCAGGGATTGTTTGGCTCCTGTAGTTACTGTGGGCTGACCCCAAACCTACATCTCAAGAGCCTGCCTGAGAACCCTGTGCAAAGGGGCTGGAGGGTCATCAGGTGTGCCCCAGGATCTAAGGAGACTTCTGGACCCAGGCACACAGTTTGTCCTCCTCAGGCTGAGGGCCATCTCCCTGTGGGGTTCCCAGCTGAAGACACTGACCCTCAGGGTTGGAAGGAACTGCTGAGGGCCTCCAGCCCAAGCCCGGAGATGGCACTGGAATCCTCTCCACTGAGGACTGACCACACAGCCCTGGTGGCTGTCTTTGGAAAACTACCCAGGGAGTGAACCCTTTCCCAGTCTCAGCCTCTGAGGGCATTCTGTCATTGATCCCAGGATCACACAGGGCATCAGCTCACCCATGTTCCAACCACAGCCTCCAAAGCCTGCTGTGTTTCCAAGCCTCCTCCACCCTCTGTGGGCAAGATGGGGTTACAGTTAACCTGTTTGCATCGTCTGGGTACTGAGCCCTCATCAACTCCAAAAGAACCCACTGCTCAGCTGTAACAGCCTGAGTGGGCTTTTCTAGGGGCTCCCCTCTGTATGGCCCATCCAGACCAAAAGGAATTTGTTGACGTGAGTGACCACCTGAAGATGTGCCCAGCTTTACCCTGGCTTAAGACTGGAGTTTCCTATTCGAGCAGCACCTTAGAATCACCTGGGAGCTTTTAAAACTCCCAAAGCTCTGGCATACCCCAGACCAAGGAGATAAGAATCCTTGGAGTGGGACCTGGGCATCAGATTCTGCAAAAGAGCCAGCCCCAGGCAGTTGGAATGTGCAGCCCAGGATGAGAGCTGGCCTGCCCTTTGCATCTGGCTGGCATCTGTAGTTTGGGCAAAGCCATCTTCAGGGTCCTTCCAATTTGTAAGATATTTTGGCAACTTGCACCATCCCCCAGTGCTGCCAGCAACATCCTCCTCCACGGCAGTGCTCCCTGCCCAGCATGGCACTGAGGGAAGGAGGAGGTGTCACAGGCTGCACTGGGGGTGCACGTGGCTTGGTGTGCTGTTTGTGCTGTCCTTCCTTTCTGCATGTTGTGCTGACATGTCCCTCCACAAATGCTGTCTGGTTCTCCTCTTCATTTTTTTTTTTTTTAAGAATATCCAGGGTTTCAAGTTCACAGTCTAAAATGTGTCATACTTCAAAGGTGTCAGGTGGAAAAGAGATGTGCACTTCAAATGTCAGTTTGGCCACTGACTTAACCACATTACGAGGGAGGGGGCACGGAGAGGTCCATCCAGACTTGGAATGAGATGGGGAGGACAAGCAGAAGGGGCCGGGGCCAGATCGTAGCCAGAGAGTGTCTTCCCTGACCAATAGCCCTCTTATTCTTGCAGGTCTAACACGCAAGTTATGGACATCTCAAAAGTATCACCATAGAGTGCTCTGTTTTAGGCACACCCTGGCCCCCTTGAGCATAGGCAGGCAGAGGCGTGCATGCACACACCCCCACATACTCACACACCCTCCCACTCCAGCTGCACGGGTGAGACCCAAAAGCCTCATGCACACAGCCTTAGGGAGATTGGGAGACAGAACTTTAGAGAACTAATTCCTCCATTTGTTAAATTCATTAAGTTAAAACCATCATCTGTCCCTTTAAGATGTTCTTTGTCTTGGGGTGAGAGAAAAGAAGAGGAAAATAAAAGACAGTGACCGGGGCTTGGACTGTGCCATCAGAGGTCCTTCTGAGCATCCCGGGTGAATCAGGGACCCCTTTGGAACCCTATCAGAACCTGTTAGTCCTGGGTTTGTCCTCACGTTGCTGAATTTCACTTCTGATAGGATGTGCCCCAACTCCCTTATTTTCCATGAATTATATGTTTGGTCTCAGGAGGCAGCTGTTAGGGAGAGTGAGAATTCGGAACGGAGCCCTTACTTTCCCTGTATTCCCAGGGAGGAGAACCACTCAGATTAGTGCTCGCCATCTATGCGTGTGCATACATCCCTTAGCTGTGCGGACACGCCATGCAGTAGGCTCCCTAGAAACCCTGGGGACCACTCAGCAGTTCCAGGTCCCCAAGAACTGGCTCATTCCTCCGTCGGTTACCAGGTAGACCAGCTGCTTCAGTGAAGGGGACCCTCCTAGAGGGAACAGAGAGGCCGTTATTCCTTGTCTCTTGTTCAGCCCTTACTGTTTTGTTAGAGCTTGCTTACAACCTCTTTCCAGTCTCTTCAACACTGAGTATCTAATAAGTGCCAGACTGCATGCTGGGCACTGAGTGAAGCAAGGTCCCTGCCTGAAGGGGAGGCAAGTGCCCAAAGGGTGATGAGCGCTGTGGTTCAGCCCCCTGCGGCCTGAGCTATAGGTGCCCAGCCAGACCCTGGATGAGGTGGAAGTGCAGAAACTCAGGGCAAGCTGGTCCTAAGCTGCTGCTGCCCTAGAGTCCCACGGGGCTGAGCACTGTCTTCTCTGACAGCAGCAGTCAGGGCTGTAGGCTGGGCGCTGAAGGCTTCTGTGGGGAAACCAGCCCCTCTCCACTCACACTAACTTGGTTTGCCCACCTCCTCGTCAGCCCTGCCCAGGTATGTGGCTCAGGAGGTGTGTGGGGTATAGGCAGGTACCACTCTTTTTGCTCCATCTGATAGACTCCTCCTGTTCATCAGGGTTAGGAGTGGCCTGCTGCAGGGCAGTTAGTTCCCTGGACCCACAATCCTGCCTCAGCAAAGAGAACTAGCCTGCCCGTGAGAAGCAGGGTCCCACTCTGCATGTCTGTCTTTGGGAACAACTGAGGTCTTGCAGCCTTCTCTTTTACTGGATGCCTGCCAACCTCAGAGCATCATGTCCTGGGATGTGAATTAGAAAGTAGCGTGTCTGAGCCTATGTCAAAGGCTGCCCACTCTCAAGTCCAGGTTCAGACAGAGCCCCTGGCATTTTCTTAGGGAGGGAACAGCCGTGTTGTCCTAAGACACCAACCAGAAGTTTTTAAAAAGTGGGGAGGGGCCCATCCTTCTGAACCACTGCTTCCCTTCTGTTCATTAATACATTGTCAATCTTTGATTTCTTAAAGCCAACTGAAAGTGAAAATGTCCCTGTCCCAACCGCCACACCCGGGGTAAGATCAGTGACGAGTCCCCCGGGGCTGGGCCTTTTCCTTGACCATGCTGAGTTTCCCACTAGTGTTTCTGTATTCTCCATGGTTGTCCTTCCAAAACAGTGTCTGCGGTGGTTTGCATTCATCATCAGTGTCCAGTACTCTTGACCAGCCCGGCGTTCTCCTCTTAACACACTTGACCACGTGGACATGCATGTGCTGTGTAGACGCAGTTTCCTAAGCCCTGTGTTGTTAGCATGTAACTCTTCCTTTCATATCATGCTTTCCAAGGTGAAAAGGCCCTAGAAATACATCTTCTGTTCTTACCTCTGTCACCTTTGTTTGCATCTGTTGCTGTTTTTCTGAAAATGTTGCATGTTCTACTTTGCATTGGGTTTGACCTCTCCATGATAACCCTTCAGAACTCTGAAGAGAGCAATAGAATCTCCATCACCTTTTTCCGTCTTTTCCGAGTGATGCGGTTGGTGAAGCTTCTCAGCAGGGGGGAAGGCATCCGGACGTTGCTGTGGACTTTTATAAAGTCCTTTCAGGTAAGAGCTGGGCCGGGGGCTTCTCTGTTGCTCTTGGAGATCACATGTGAGCCAGTGAGTGTCCTCTGTCATGGAGGATCCAGACTCCCTTCCACATGGCCACTGTGACCCCCTAGGTCAATAGAGGATGTGGAACATGGAGGCACCTGACCCAGCCGTCCTTGGTGAATCAGACAGGATTCTTGCTCAAAGGAAACAGAAGGCAGTAAGGACCTACAGCTAAGGAGGGGTGTAGTGTTTCTCAGATGGATAGAGATGGGGAGTCTCCAAACCCCTCAGTCCTCTCTGAAATGCCCAGTGGTGGAGAGTGACATCTGAGAGAGGGCAGGTCCCAGCAGACCGCCGATAAAGTGAACAGCTTCTTGCCAGGACAGCTCTTCCTCCTGAGGCTGCCACGGTCCCCTCTGTTGGCTGGTCTAGATATGAATCAGACTGCTCCACCTGAGCCAGCACACCATCCCCAGTCTCTGCATTACCCAGTACCTGTAAGGATCACAGCATTGCGGACATTTGGGCATAAGCCAGGCCTCACTTGTCATCTGTGACTCTCCAGCCTGGTGCAGCCTGAACCAGGACTGACCCAGCTTCTCCTGTACCTTTTAGTACCCCACCCCAGATATTCTAGTCTTCCTGACTGAATTAACTGGGGACGGGGTACAGATTCTTGTTTAAAATATTCGTCTATGTAAGGGAAATGTAGCTATGTATAAACATTAGAAAGTGAATCATGAATCTTTGTGACTATTTTTAATTTGAAATAAACACCTTGACAAGTGAAGCTATCCAAAGACATGTAAAGAAAAAGTTCAAGCTAAGCCCACCACCTCTGAGGTAACTGGTGTTAACATCCCAGGGAGCGTTTTTCTGCTTGGGTAAGATTTTAACACGTAAAGGGAAAGGATGGCTTCTGGGAAAGGGGGTAGATCCAAAAACTCAAAGAAGGGAAATCACAGATCCTGGCAGGGAACCTGAGGTTGTCAGAAGGACTGGGGATACAGCGCTTAGGGAGAGCGAGCAGGGCCTCAAGTGAGCCTTGGTCTCAGAAAGGGGTCAAATCCCAGACATTCATTATTAATTTAAAGTACCAAAGTTTTTGAGTTAACTGCTATAAAAATAGAATAGATTCATGCAATAATGTCATAACTTACTTTTAAAGAAATTATTAAACTTTTTCTTTTTAAAAGTTTGTCCACCATAGATAAATTCATTGCACAAAGTGGTAGTTCACAAAAACTGAGAAACAGTGCCAACAGAATTCTTAAAGATTCAGTAATCTAGGAAGAAAATGTGTATAGGTATGGTGAGGAAAGCCTGGAACTAACCCTGTGGGGCTCTGACCAGCGGTCAGCCATCAGGATGGTGCTATTGCACCGGGCTGGGCAAGCAGTCCCAGATCCAGAGGGGACACACAGCGGGAAGGTTTTTAGCCACTGGCTTTCTGATTTGTGGATAAAAGAGAAAGTAGATGCTGTAACCATGAGTGCTTGGCATTAAGTTCAGCAGTCTGGCTGCTACCCTGGAGGTGTACCATGTGCATGTCACACGACATGTCCTAGAAAAAAATAGTTGAACAGGGATGAGAGGACCAGGGGTCTGACCCCACACATATGTGTCTGTATTTAATATTCTTAAGGAGAGTCCAGGGTTGGCGACCACCCAGCTAGCTCCCTTTCTTTTCCCTGACCCCAACCCTCAACTTGCATTCTTTCAGAAAGTGTGTATTTTAAGAAAGATGTCTTGCTTTCTGCAGCAGCAGGCAGAAAGTGGTTCTTCCCCTTGGCCCCAATAATTTCACTCCCAAGACCTCACCTGAAGCAGACATGGGTGGTTTTGCACAAAGATGTTCCTTTGCAGTGTGATCTACAATAGACCTTGCCCCCACCCCAAACATGCCCACGAAAGAAAGTGGAAACAATCTAAATACCCAGTGTTCTGGAATGGTTTGATCAATTATGATAATCACAAAGGAATCCAATGATGCATATAAACATCATTGTGTGGGTGATATGTCTGCCCTGACACTTTATTTAGGGTCAGGGTATACTGTTAATGGTGGTGGAAAGCATATCCTGCCCATAGATTCTTAACACTAGGTGTGTGCATGGATGGTATACTCAGGACTGAAGTTATTGTGCTGGGCTGGGGTTTAAAAAGTCCTCCTTCACTGTCGATGTCCTTTCAGCATAACCCAGCAAAGAGAAGCATGTGGCCCTGTGTTGGGCCTTCATTCTGTACCTGAGCAGTCACAGTGTGGGGGAGAGGGGAGAGGCGGGCACTGAGCCAACTGCTTCCTTCTTCCAGGCACTGCCCTATGTAGCCCTCCTCATAGCCATGTTGTTCTTCATCTACGCGGTGATTGGCATGCAGGTAAGCACTAGCCACTTTCCCCCTGTGTCCCCTTTGCTGGGTAGCCCCAGATCTGTGGCAAGATGTGCCTTGGCCAGAGGGAGTGGAAAGCCAGGGTCCTGATTTTGCAGGCGAGCGCCTGTGCCGGGGACTGCCAGGCTCAGAAGAGCAGGGAGAGGTTGGGACATGCCAGGGAAGCCTGGGTGTAGTGGTGCGCCTCACCCCCAGGCTGAGTCCTGGGGTCTCAACTGACGGAGAAAACCCACAGTTGGTTTCAGCAACAGGAAATGCCACACTGAGAGAAGCTGTAATTGTTTTGGCTTCTGTACTGATGTTACTAAGAAGATATTTAATGATACCGAAGTCTGTTGATGGCCTGGAAAGTTATGTTTTATCACAACCAGCTAGATTCTTACTTGAAACCACCTGCTCCCAGATGCTGTGGCGGGGGCTGCACTGGGATCATTATTTGGCATGGGTAGCGCCCTTTTAAAAAAGCACGAAACCAGGCCCTTCTGTGACCATGGCTGAGGGGCTGCAGGATTCTTCCCCGCTTCTCTGGGGGTGTGGAAAGGGATTGGGGCTTCATTCACTGCTGAGCTGAGCTGAGCCCTAGCAGGGTAGGCACAGCCTCCAGGAGGAGAGGGAGGTGGAGAGCAGCCTGCTGGACCTCCTGGGGGTCTCTCTGCTACGTGCTCTGCTGTTTTGGATGCTGTCTTTCAGATAAGAGGGGATGCAAGTGTCTAAAGAGGTGGGGTGATTCCAAGGCAAAGGGGTGGCTGCGCTTCCTTATCTGAAGGCATAGAAAAATTTGCAGTTTGATAGGGATCTATTTGGGAGTTGTGAATGACGAGTTGACCTACTTGAGCCCCTGTAATTCAGCGTGGGATGCTTTGTGCCCCAAATGGCCTTTTATGACCTGATGTTCTCCTACAAAACAAGAGCTGTCTTGGAGACCTGCAAGCTGCCCTGCACACACCATCACCAGTTCGCTCAGGAGGCTTTGCCAGGTTCTTCTAAAATGGCCTGCTCTTCTACAAGTCCCGCAGCTAACTTCCCCTTGCCCTTCCAGGAAAGGCCTCTCTCCTCTCTGTGGCTCACCGGCCCCCACGTTTGTCTGTAGCCGGATCTTTTGTCTATGCACACTCAGGGTCTTTTCATTTCCTGGGGCTCCTGGGCCATGTCCCCTCTGCTCCTTTGCAGGCAGTGCTTCCTCTGCCCAGACACCCCACCCTTCTGTTCACCTGACTAGCCTCCACTGTGCCTTCAGTTCTGGGCCTAAATGTCACTCCTCCAGAGGCCTTTCCTGACCCCATCCCCTGGCTGCAGATCCGTTATGTGCTTCCCTGTCTGGCTGGATCAGGCCAGCTCTCTGCAGGAGGGGCTGTCTGTCTGGTTGCCTGGTAGGAACTCTCTGAGGTGAGGAGGCTCCTGGCTTCGGCACTGGGCTCCCAGCAGTTAGCACGGTGCCCGCCCCATGTTTGCTGAGTGAATGAAGTGCCAAGCACTACAAGAGAGCCCTACTAGGTGTTGATCAATCTTGTGTTCGAAATTCACATGTGGAATATGTTTCGTGGAGGGTGTTTTGCTTTTTGGTTTTTTGGTGTGTTTTTTTTTTTTTTAAACAAAATCTTTATTTCCCTAATAATTTCTCCACCCAGATGTTTGGGAAGGTTGCTATGAGAGATAACAACCAGATCAACAGGAACAACAATTTCCAGACCTTTCCCCAGGCGGTGCTGCTGCTCTTCAGGTGACTGCGTCCCACGAGGGCACATCTCTCCCTGGCTCTGGGCTCCAGGGTGACCCAGGACACGTGCTCTGTGTCCCCTCCTGGTTGATGGTGGTGGCTTGTTGTATTTGTTTTGTATCCTTGAACCAAAGACCTTACCATTTCAGTCAGAGGAATTTCGCTGGACTGTGGAAACTGCTATGGTCATTTAGACTGGCCAGCTTACGGGTTATCCCTTTGGAAGCTAGTAGGTCTACTAAAGCCACCAGGAAAATGGTAGGATACACACTTATGCATGGGAGCGTGCACTTGAACACACCCAGGAACATGGAAATATAGCAAGAACAGAAAGGGCCTTTGCACAGCCAACAGGGAACATCCAAGATGCACAATTTCAGATTTTATAGGATTGTTTTTAACCCCAGTTAACTAGCTTTGTAAACAAGTTGCCTTGAAGTGAGAGAACTTTCTAGAAATTATACAGGTAATTTCTAATGATTCTCGTGATTGAATAGCGAGTTACTTAGAATTTGGTAGTTTTCAGTTCTTTGCTTTCAACAAAATTGAATGGGGATCTAATCAAATTGTCAGGTATTAGGTCATTAAAAATAATTATTTTAAGATTGTAACATTTAAATAAGAGAAGACACAAAAACATCCATTTATACAGAAAGAATTGATGTGCTTGTATCAAATGATTGTTTTAAATCAAAGGGAGCTATAGCAGGGCCTCCACTTAGAGAAGTTGCATTTGAAAATAAGTAGGAATTTCAGTTTAGGAATTTTCACTCTTTCGAACTGGCTTTTCCCCTAAATCACTTAGGTTTTTTTCTAATTACAAATTTTGTTTTAAAAAAAATTTCTTAAAAATGTCGTGAAGGGACGCCTGGGTGGCTCAGTTGTTAAGCGTCTGCCTTCTGCTCGGGTCATGATCCCAGGGTCCTGGGATCGAGTCCCACATCGGGCTCCTTGCTCAGTGAGGAGCCTGCTTCTCCCTCTCGCTCTGCTGCTCCCCCTGCTTGTGCTCTCTCTCTCTCTCTCTCTCTCTCTGACAAATAAATAAATAAAAACTTAAAAAAAAATAAAATAAAATAAAAAAAATAAAAAAATAAAAATGTCGTGAAGGTCTAAGCTTCAAATTGCTCCTTCATCTACTAAAGCCCTTTTTCTTAATCTCAACAAGGTGTGCCACGGGTGAAGCCTGGCAGGAGATCATGCTGGCCTGCCTCCCAGGGAAGCTCTGTGACCCCGAGTCGGACTATAACCCTGGGGAGGAGTACACGTGTGGGAGCAACTTCGCCATTGTTTATTTCATCAGTTTTTACATGCTCTGCGCATTTCTGGTGGGTGATCATGACAGCTCTCTTTCTCGACTGGTGGATGCTTGTGTGGCATTTGGGATTCAGACCACGGATGTTGCCCCATCGAATGACTGTGGGGTATTGTATGTTGATGAGCACTCTAGACTTCATCTGGCAGTTGGGGGTTTTTCTTCAACAGGTGTATGTTACTAGCACCTTCGTTGTGAGCAGGGGTTTGAGGCTCCCTAACAGGCTTGGGACAGTCACCACCCCAGCGTCTTAGGGCTGCTGGTGTCTTTATCCAAGTTCCAAAGCCACCGCACGTAGCAGTGTCTCAACAGTGTGAGGTATTTGGTGGCCACAAAATTATAAAACTGCAGTGGGCGTCGACAAGGCCAGATGACACAGCCCCTGCTTTCCCCTGGGACTATACCAAAGCCATTGTGGAAAGCTGGAAGCCTGCCTTTTTCTTCAACATTCTCCAGAAAGAAAGTTTTTATGGCCTCAGAGAAGTGGGTTTCAAATGTTTCACGACTCTTATAATTAATTAGGAGGCCCTTACTAGGGTCTAAGCCCATCCATTCCACTGAAGATGAAGCAGCTTTGCTCTGATGTGCTTTTTCAGATCATCAACCTGTTTGTGGCTGTTATCATGGACAACTTTGATTATCTGACCCGGGACTGGTCTATTCTGGGGCCTCACCATTTAGATGAATTCAAAAGAATATGGTCAGAATATGACCCTGAGGCGAAGTAAGTTGAAAAGGCTTCCATGTGACTTGTGTGGGCTGTTTCTGGAGTGTTGGCTGTGATTTTTGTAGAAGGTGGGATGGACCGAAAGCTCAGGCCAGCCAGTGCTTCCCTGGACCTCATGCTGTTCTTTGTCTCCAGAGGAAGGATAAAACACCTCGATGTGGTCACTCTGCTCCGCCGCATCCAGCCTCCCCTGGGTTTTGGGAAACTATGCCCACACAGAGTAGCCTGTAAGGTAAGTGTCCTGTTGGTGTGTCTGATGGCCTCTCTGCAGGGACTCTCTGCTTCATTCAACACACACTAAGTGACATTCTGCCGAGCCTTCCATCAGGTGCACTGGAGATGCAGAGATGAATCATATGTGGTTCCTGTCCTGAGGTGCTATCAGATTTGTAACTCGTAGGATACCCTGTCAGCCAATAGTAAGAATAGGAAGGGGATCGTGTCATTTGTCACTGGGTGGATGAAGGGGAAGGTGACATTTGCATCAGGTCCAGAAGGCCAGAAGCGGGAGGGCATTGCAGAAAGGGAACACAGCTCAGATGCGGAGGTCGGAGAATTACCATCATGTTGGCACATGGGGAGCCACTGATATGGCTGGAGCATAAGGGAAAGTGGCAGAGGACTATGGGCACAAGCTGAGCGCAACTCCAAGGAGCCCTCTGTGCCAGGCTGAGTCCCACAAAAGAAGCATCAGTAGAGTTTCCTGGTGGGAAGTTGCCCCTTGGCAATGGGGGAGTAAACAGGAGACCACCCAGAGAGCTGTTGGAGTCACCCAGAGTGAGGGTGGTGGAGGTGGGAACAGAGGAGGGCAGGGCTGGAAGGTCTGCTTAGGAAGTAGGCTGGAGAAGACGTGGTGCCCTAGCTATTTCCTAGCTTGAGTGACCGTGGACATGATGGCACACCCCTCTACCACCAGAGTGTCTGTCCCCATGAGCCATACATCAGCAGTGGCCTCTTGGGGTTGGGTCCAGATCTCCCATCCCACCCCACCCCACTTCTGTAGTTTTCACCCCAGACCATGCTCTCTGTGAGCTCCAGCTGAGATTTGTTCTTCTTCCATAGAGCTCTCAGGGAACCACCTTGAGTCATCGTAGCAACAGAAAATAATTCCCCTTTCTGAAGGAGACATGCAAGATTTGCTTACTGCAACTGCCCCTAGAAATCCAGCCAGCCACACAACAGCTGGTCACCTCTTCCCCTGGGTCCGAGGCAATTTTGGGTTCAGGGGTTTTACCCAGCGTTGCTGGGCCAGCTCTAGACAGAACCCAAAGTAACAGAGTGGAGTCTATAACGTATTGCGGAGAAATTTCAAAGAAATCTTTGGAGACAAACTCATTGTTCTCTGCCCTGAAAGTCCAGAAAACCCTATTGGCAGGTCCTTGGGTCTTTGCCCGCTTCATTGCTTCTCTGTAGCCTGGACTCTGGATGAAGGTACAGAGAATAAGCCACAGAAGTGGACTTTTTTTCATAAATTTCTTTTCTGCTTTCCAAGAACGAGATGGGTTCCAGCTTATGGCTGTTGTTTTGTGTTTACGTTTCCAGACCCTTTTATATAAAGGATCTAAGTATCCTTGAGGCACAATGTGGTCCATTTTGCTGATTCAGGAACTTGCCAGGGAAAGTGAATGGACATGCAGCCTCTCCTGGCTACCTGTGCTGGGTTTGGAGACAGGCATGGTTGGTAATAGGACTAGAAATTTAGGTGGGATGAGTCATGCAAACGTGAGATTCCAGTCCCTTAATAGGGAAGAGAAAAAGCATTAAAAATCTCTTGGGATGCCTTGCCATCCCAAAATAAGAAATTTGGAACCATTAACAATTACAAATACCACTTACTTAGCTCTGATCACATGCCAGGCATCCCCTGAAATTTTAGCGTCCATGATCCACCTTAATCCCAGCTGAGTGTGCCATCTGTATTGGAGGTAACCAGGGCCCAGCGAGGGTATCACTCCCTCAAGCCCATTCCTCAGCTCCCAGTGCTAGTGTTCGAGGGACCAGAAGGGAGAAGAGAAGCGTTAAGTGGGGGTCCTGCTCTGAAAGACCAGACAGAGCAACCGTGTGGACTTAAAGGGGGTCCCACCGTGGGCATGATGGTCCCACCGGGGCAGGGTTCCCTAAAGGACACTCCTTAGGAGTAGTGAGGACCCAAGCTCCAGTCCCTGTGCCTGGCTTGTTGTACCTGGTGTATTATCTCATCCTTAACAACAGCTTTAAGGATGTGCCCAGAAGGGAGGCCTGACCCTGAGATGTGGGGAGGGACAGAAGAGCGCTTGAACAGTCACGTCTTAAAACAGGTGAGGTTAAAAACAAGCAAAGCACACCATCCGCGTGCCAGCATATGTGTTTCACGACTAAAGCCTTGATCTGTGTCAGCTCCGAGTACCCCCAGGTGCTAGGTGCTCCCTAAGGAGTTGTGGAATTGAACTGTTGACTAGAAGGAGGCAAGGGATAAACAGAATCAACACCAAGAAGTAACATGGCCGTCATCCATCATTCGTCTTCTATTGCGAAACTTCTTTCTGTTTACAGAGACTAGTGGCCATGAACATGCCTCTCAACAGTGATGGGACGGTCATGTTTAATGCAACCCTGTTTGCTTTGGTTCGAACGGCTCTTAAAATCAAGACGGAAGGTGAGCATCCCTGCGACAGGACGGGGTACAAGAGGGGAGGGATGCCACATCCCACGTTGCGTTTTCCCATCCGGGCCTTTTCTTGTCAAAGGGGAGGCTGTGGGGAAGGGGCAGTGAGTGCTGGGCCCAGCTGCCTGTCCCTGCCTGCCTTTATGCTTCACTTTGTCCCAGAAGGTTTTGTGGTGACCCCTGCCACTGCTTGCTTACAGAGCAGGAGAGATTAGGCGGGGGAAGGAGGGCTGGGGCAGAGACAGGACCATCACAAGTGTGCTCACTCCAGCTGTCCCTTTCTACTGTGTGACCTTCAGAGAGGGATTTCATGGTGCTGAGCTGTAGCTTCTTTCTCTGTTGAAAAGGAATAAGTATGCCTACATCCCAAGGAGTCCCAAGGCTGAGATGAGAGGATGTCTACAGGAGCCCCTCTGCCAGGCGGGCACAAAGCCAAAGCCGGCACTTGGGGACTATTAGCAGTCACATCTTCCCCGCTGAGATCAAACACTCAGCCCTGGAAGGTGGCCACTGGGGTTGGCTCAGTGATGCCATGAGAGTGGGACAGAAAGCAGATTGCAGCAGGTTGAGGAGTGACAGGAGGTGGGAAAGTGGAGGCCGTGAAGGAGCCAACTCTTGGCACACTCCGTGGACGAGAGGGAGGAGGGGCCGGCAGGGCACAGCTGCGGTCTGCAGACGGCTGTCTGCCAGTAGCCCCGGAGCTCTAGGTGAACCTCTGCCCAAAGCCAGTCTCTCCAAGCTCCCAGTGCCCCTGGCAGTGTGCTCACCCATACCTGGCCCGGCCAGCACGCCTGGGCGGGGCAGAAGGCAGGGTGGTCTTGGGGACTGACAGGTTAGCTGAGGAGACAGGCTTCAGCCCATATAATAAAAGACCAGGCTTTTGTGGTGCTGACGAGTACATGAAGTAGGAATTGAGAGAATTTCTCATTTGGGTGAAATGGAGGCAGTGTTTGGAACAGGCAGTGGAGGAATAGAAGGCATTCTAGCTGGGAGCAGTGGGAAGGGGTGCGTCTTGGCTGTGGGAGGGTAGGATGGGATCAGGCTGCATAGGCCTGGAATTCCAGAATAAAACACGGTTCCTACCGTGGGGTGACTGCCCAGTGGAAGGCTCGCCTACTCTTTGCCTGCGACCCCTCCACTGGAGAGCCAAGGGGGAGGGGAGCCCCGTTCTGTCTGAGGTCTCTGCTCCGGGCCAGGCTGGGAGGGAAGCAGCCCTGGTGGGAACAGACAGGAGAGCTGGCTAGGAGAAGCAAGGCTCCTTATAGATTTGGGATACTAGACCTTTGTCTGATAGGTCATTTGCAAATATCTTCTCCCATTCTGTCGGTTGTCTTTCGGTTTTGTTGACTGTTTGCTGTGCAAAAGCTTTGTATCTTGATGAAGTCCCAATAGTTCATTTTTGCCCAAAAAAAAAAGAGAAGCAAGGCTCGTTTTCCCCTCTTGCTTTTTGAATTTAGGGAACCTGGAACAAGCTAATGAAGAACTCCGAGCTGTGATCAAGAAAATCTGGAAGAAAACCAGCATGAAACTGCTTGACCAAGTTGTCCCTCCAGCTGGTGGTCAGTGCAATCTATTTCCTAAGTGGTTCTTGGCTAATGCATTGGTTTCAGTGCAAGGATCTCCAGCAAGCCCCAGAGGGGGTTTGCAGAATGCTTTATGTATCTGCTAGAACATTCGGGCCCACAGCTAAAGAAGGCTCTTCGGCCTCTTGGTGTAATTATTTGGGGTAACAGGAGGACCATTCCAGACAAAGGAGAGGCTTCAGTGGGAAGGAGACCCAAGACCCAGATGGCTGGGGCAGGGGTTTTCTGGTCAGTGGAAGAATTACCATGGGAGAACAAGCTTTCTGTCTCAAACCAGAGTCTGTATTTTTTCAACCAAAATGAAATACTTAAAGTTAGTTTCCATTTATCCTTCAACGTGTTGTTGAAAATGTCTCAGAAAAAATAGATAGCTTTCAGAAAATGGCATTTTTGAAATGTTTTTCTCAGGACTGAGTTTATCATCATAATTACCGAAAATGTCCCTTTAACTGGAGTTTAGAGTCAGAACTAACAGGCATGCTTATTTCCTTTTGTTATTTGTCATAAAATAACAGACTAAACTTTTTCAGATGTATATATGTATATATGATGCACATATATATAATATATATACTGTTTTTCCATTTTTGTTTAAGTACACCGGACTTAGATGTTAAGGTGGTTGTTTTGTGACTATTTTATTTTCACGTTTTAAAGGTGCAGGATCCGTTCACTCCGTGCCACGACCCCAGTATTCTAGCCGCCCCTAGCCCCGGGCACATTGTGAGCATTCGGTGTGTTTTGTAACCAACCACACTTTTCTAGCATCACCGCTCCTGCAACTTTCGAGATTGGTCGGGCTCAGGGCTGGAAGCCGACTCCGGGACCCGGGGCCAGGACCATGGCCAAGGCCTCTCCCTCTGAGAAGGTGACAGTCTCTGGCTCTTGGGAGGCAGAGAGAGAGAGAGAGCGAGCAGCATGGAGGCTAGGTCTGCTCCTCCGCATGAAGCCAGAGCAGTGTGAGCTTTTGTCGCTGGAGGGAGCCACCCCTAGCTGGCGCAGCCACCTGCTCAAAGCCGGGGGAGATGGTCCCAAAGAAATGATAAAGGGAAAGCATGCACGCACACACACACCCCCACCACACCCCCCCTGCCCAAAACCAAAGAACAGAAAACTGTCAGCTCCCACCTGGAGCACCCGGGCCCTCCACAGGAGAACTGATGCTGCACATTTAAAACAACTCTTCGGTTTCGTTCTTTTCCTTGCAGCTGCGCACCCAGTGCTCGCATGGCTTAGAGAAATTGCTTTTTAAGATTGTTGTAACAATGTGCTTGAGCTTTTTCTGCAGCCTCCATTCCTTTCAAGTCTCAGTCTTTCAGAATATTCTGAAGCAATTCTGTTTTAGGGTGGTGGCATGGAATCAGGGTTATCTCTTGGCAGCCGTATTCCCCTACACTGTTTCTCAAATCCAGATGCGTGCTTCAGAATAGCGGCTGCGTGCGTCCCGGTAAACCCTGCCCCCTCCATCTCCCCCCAGGGCCGGCCCACCCTGCCCCAGCACCCCTCTGCTGACTGGCCGCCTTCTTCACAAACCAGTCTCACCCCAACATCTTGGGGAGCATAGTCGCATTACTGTGAAGCTTGCTTTCTTTTAATTAGACCAAGAACAAAAGGTCCAGAGTTTGGCTCACCATGCTAGTGCCCTTAAAACAGATCAAATTTTAGCTCTGCTAGACTGCTAGTGAAAGCCAAATACCCTTCCGCTTTCTCGGCCCGGTAGCTGGGCCTGGCCTTTTTCTCTGTAGTTCTTAGAGAAGATTGGGGTTTAGGATGGCAGGTGTCCATCTATTCCAAAATGGCAGCAGGAGCAGGTGAAACCCGAGAAGGCAGCAGGCCTTAGGAGGTGGCATGCCGCACTGTTTGAGTGTGTCCCTAGGAGGGTGGTCCTCCAGGCCGAACCCCCAGTCCTCCTGCGCTGGAGAGGCTCGTGGCAGGCAGGGACTCTGAGGCATCTGCAAACACACTCTGTAGGAGGTGCATGCAGGGCAGGATTTTACTGCCTGCATTCCACCAGTTCTCTCTGTTGCTTCTTTTCTCTTCCAGTAGACCAGTGGTTCCCAGCCTCGCCCACATTGTGGTGCACTTGGAAAATGGGCCTCTGGGCCAGCAGATGGCTAGCTCCCAGGGCCGAGGGCCTCAGTGTCCTGCAGGCCGTACCCTGGCCAGAGTGGCAGACTCCACCAGGCCAGCTGCTCCCCGTGTCTGGGACTGGCCCATGTGGGGCATCTGGGAGCCCCTCACAGGCCTGGTGACAGTGGGGCAGGGGTCCATCTTGGGAGGCTTTGTAGCTCAGGGTGATGTGTGGTGCTCCCCCCTGCCCAGGTTATCACAAGCTTCTGAGAAGGAGGCGGCCCCAGGAGCCAGCCCCAGAGGAGCACTGGGGAACTGTCCTTCTGCACCGTGGCAGTGCAGGGGCCTGTGGCCTCGGGCATAGCCTGCTGTCCTCTCCACCACCTGTGCTCAGTCGTCCCCTTGCCCATCTCCGAATCTTGCTCATGTCCTCTGCTCTACTCTTCAGTCCTCCACCGTGTCATGGCTCTTCCCCCTTTCTGTAGGAGTCCCCTATTCTCCCAGGGGCTGTCCTTTCTTTGGGCCTCACTCAACCTGGATCTTTGGCTCCTTTGCCCTGAAGAGCTCAAAAACCTGACCCCATCTCTTTCTCTCCAGGGCTGAGCCCGGACAGCCTCACTGCAATCATTCCTTCTGTCCCTTCCTTTTCTAACCAACTCTAGCTTTGATTTTTCCTGTTCTTGAGAGCTTGTCCTCAGCCCAGCCTCAATTAGCTTAGCATCTCAGTGGAGAAGACCAAGTGGTGGCCTGCCTCCACTCTGGAGTGGCCACTCAGGCAGAACCACAGTCAGCCCTCTGCACTGAACACCCTGCTTCCCCCAGTTCTGGGCCAAAGAGAGCCAAGACCCTCCCGCGGGAGCCTCCTGGGCCCCTCCAGGCCAGCACCATCTGGGCTGAAGGGAGAAAAGAATCAGGCCTGCATTTACGGGAAACATCCCAGTGTGGAACGGGGTGGGTCTTCGGTAAACCTAGTGTTTTTTTTCTGGGAACTCACAGAGAAGACTTGATACCCTGGACTGCAGGGGATAGCTGTGGCACAGAAGGCAGAGGCCCCCTGGGGCCCCCAGGGTTGTCAACTTTGAGCCCACCTCCTGCATGCAGCTCAGTAGAGAGACTTGTACTCTGGGGGAAGCAGCCCCAAAGAAGTAGGTGGTCTGCATGGCCAGAGCTGGGCAGTCCCTGAGTGGGCAGTGTGGAGGAAGAGGAGAGCCCACGCTTGGGAGGCCTACTGCCCTGGCCTCACATCCCAACTTGACTGGCCAGGGCAGGTCATTCAACCCTGCTCTACCTGTTGAGGGGAAAGCCATTCCACCATCTCAGAGCTGTTGTGAAGAGGCCATGACACCCACATGGAGCTCCTCTGGGAACATGGATGCCCAAGAATAGAGGTAGCTGGAAGGTATACCAGATGTACCCTGGGCAAAATTGGGAGCAGCTTGAGAGCAAAGTAGGGGTGAAGTGTCAAGACATAAATGGTCTGTCCACCTCTCACCTCCCTGCCCATGGGCAGTGCATCATTAGGCTATTTGGACCAGCCTGAGACAGATGCAGGACATAGTTTCACATGCTACCCAAAGCCTTCATCCCTTTGGTGGCCCCTACACCACTTCAGGCTTCTCAGCTGGGGTTTGTGAGGAACGCAGTGCACTTCTCAAGGCCAGCTGCCCCAAGGCATCTTCTTACTCAGTAACACTGAGTGGCTCCTGACAGTGAAGGTTGGAGAGGTGCATACAGCAGCCCAGCAGTATCTAGATGGAGACACTTCCCACACGGGCACTGAATGAACCCCATTGGGGTTCATTCAGTGAATGTAGAGGGTCCCAGTGGCCCCCAACCTGTCATGTTCCACCATCCATTTCAGTGGATGGCACCGTCAGCAGGCTGCCGGCTCACTATCATCCAGCCCAGGCACTTCGGACCATCCTAGCATGGGGCCGGGTGCTTCTAGGCCTCCTCTCGGATCATGCTCACAAGCACCTTTAAGAGGTGTAGCCCCATTTATAGATGAGAACACAAGCCCCTTGCCCCAGATCACCATGCAGCTCTTGCAAGGGCAGCCTGGGTACAAGCTCAGCTGTCCCAAAGCCTGAGGGCCAGCAGCCCTTCCTTCTCCCAGCCTCTACAACTCCTGGGGCCCTAAGCTTCTTGCCCAGGGGCCACTGCAGATCTGGGGGCGAGCACTCCAGGGAGAGCAGGGCTGGTGGAGGCCCCTGGGCAAACACATCGTGGTTTACCATGAGACAGCCAGAGCCTCTATTCTGCCTCATGCATCACCTTTAAAATGCTCAGCGGAGTTCCAGTGCCCCAGCGGTACATGCTGGAGTTGTTCCGAACAAAGCAGAAATAAGCTCAACTTCGAGGTTAGTTGGAGCTGTCGCTTGCAGTGCCCAAAATAAGCAGTTCTGGATTACAAACAGAGAAATGGCATATGGAGGCTATTGGAACAGAATCACGGGGGCACGTGAAAATCTGGGTTTGCAGCCACTTTCCTGAACCTTCCTCCTCTTCCGAGCTTGTCTGTCACTTTCTGAGGTCTCTGTCTTTATCTCAAAGCATCAGGATTTGGATGGTTAATTGCCTTGGTGTTCATGGTAATTACACGTGCAAATCTCTATGCACAGGGGTGAAAATAGGACCCAGAAAGTCTTTTTTTTTTGTTTCGTAATTTTTATTTTCAGTAAATAACCAAGACAGCACTCCATAGTATTACTAATACGCTGCTCTAATAAACTCATGACAAACATATCGTTTTCTGCAATTTTGAGTATCAGTTCATGGGACTGACTCTAATTTTGAGCCTTAACTGCTTTGCAAAACCTTGCTTTTTGCTAGATTTAGTCTCCCAGGTCCTCAGCCCAGAGCTCAATGCCCTGGGCGCTATCCCGCCCCGCCCCCGCCCTGGCCCCCAGCGAGAGTTGAGGCTCCTGGTGCAAATGTGCTGATTCGGGAGAGCTCTGTCTGGTCTCTCCGTTTAGATGATGAGGTAACCGTGGGGAAGTTCTATGCCACTTTCCTGATACAGGACTACTTTAGGAAATTCAAGAAACGGAAAGAACAAGGCCTGGTGGGAAAATACCCTGCGAAGAACACCACCATTGCCCTACAGGTGAATTGTCCTTTTGTTTTCTTCTCTTTTCACTAACCATTTTACAAGCTTATTTGAAATACTAGAGAGCTGGCTATTCATGGTTGAGCGGTGCCACAAGGATTTTGTTTAAACTGAGATACCGCACACCCCCCAAAATGCGGACTAGCCATTTCTGGGCTATGAGGTAAGTGCCCCCCTCTCTTGCTTTGTCTGTTGTGCCCGCACCTGCTGTGGCCCGGGGGGCAGGGCCCCCAGGACAGCGGCAGAGGTATAGCACTGGCAGGCCCCGGGGGGCCAGCGCTGGCCTGGTACCCTGTCTCCTCCCATCTTCTCCAAAGACAGCGTCCTTAGGCAGGCACCCACCTCCCCCCTGTCCCGGGCTCGGGCCCTAGCTGCCCAGGAAACAGCTTTCCATCTGAACGCAAGTGCTTTGTTTTGTTTCTGTTTGTTTCTTACCCCACTGCTTGTTGGTTTTCGGTCCATTTCAGTAACATCCATCACCTCCTGGTGTGTGTGTGCGTGCAGATGGGTGTGTGTGTGCACACGTGTGTCACAGTGTGTCTGTCTTCCGTGTGTGTTTCCTGACAGCCGTGAGGCTTGCTGTGCAAACGCTGCTCTGTGCCCAGGCCAGCCTCTGGGCCCTCCCCCTGTGCCAGCCCCAGCCCGCCCCAGGCTCCTGGAGTGTGGGCGCGGCTTACAGGAACCTCTGGTTCCAGCCAGGGTCCATGCATTCAAGGATGTAGAACCCTAGGTAAGCCCAGATCTCTGGCATGGGAAGCAGGTGTGTGGAGGAAGGGGTCACTGTGAAGCTTGCAGGAGGAGGGGCCACGAAGGGAAGTTTGTGAGCAAGCACTGGCAACAAAGAAAGCAGGGTGAAGAGGGAATGAGATGTTAAGAACTGGCAAAAGGGAACTGCAGAGGTTGGCAAGCTGCAGAAACACCTGTCCAAACTAACCAGAGCCCCATTATCTCTGCTACCCACATGCCTGAAGTCCGTCACGAGTAAGATAGTTTTTTCCCTATTCATTTGTTTACTTTAAAATGACTTTTATGTCCCTCTTACCATCATGAGTCTTACATTGGGTCATGTAGGGTATTAGCAGGGTTCAGTGTGGAATAGGCCCTTCACTTTTTTCTGGAGAGAAATGCCCAGTGTTGTTTTGTGTTCCAAGTGATGGTGCAGTGAAGGGAGGGCTTGTCTGTGAGCTTGCTGCGAGAGAGGACATGAACGTGAATGGCCACAAGTGAGGGCAAGTGGGTGCATATGCAGATGGTGGGGTAGTAGATGTCCTTCATGAGGACACCTCTGCTCTGCCCAGACAGCTGCAGAGCCGGGGGAAGCAAAGATGCTCAATCCAGCTGAAGACGATTTCCGATCTTTATTTCCCTGATCACCTGTCCTAAAGGTGGCTCAGTGAACCACAGGCTCAGTCCAGTAGCCCATTGCTGTCTTAGGTTGTGGAATTTGTGAGTAAAACTTTCCCCTCTGGCCCCTCCAGTCTGCAAAAGGGACAGCCCTCCTCCCAACCACCATTCACAAGTAGCCTTGGAAAGATGAAAGCAAACTGAAAAGATGTGTTTGCAAATCTGAACAAGTCTGTGGTCCATAGGCTCTTGGGGGCAGCGTGGCCAAGTTGGGTGCAAGGAGAAGGTGTGATGAATGTGCTTCAGAAGGCACTTCCCTAAAGTGGTCCTGGGCCTGGAGGACTAGACTGGCTGGATTTGGGAGTGTCACGGTCCCCTCCCCCTGCAGGGAACTGCCTGCTATTCTGGGATTCTAGGTGGTGGGGTCCATAACACTTGATGACTTTTCTTGAGGAGGAAACATACTCTCTCATGGATGGCTATGTCATAACTTCCAGTAACCAAGTTAGCTCTGTGTTAAGAGACCCTTCTGTTTTTTGGGGAAGGCGTGCATGATGACCACATGAGTAGAGTTCTCCCTTCCCTGAATCCCCAAGACTTCCCAGTCACATGGCTTCAGTTCCTGCTCTAGTGGCTAGATATAGTGTTTCGATGTTTTAAAACCTGAAAAACAACACATGGCTAAATAATTATCACATTTCATGGATGGGCTTCCCTGAGTCTTTTAAGTTGCAGTTTCAAATGGTGCTAAAGCTACGTTTATAAGTCATGGGGTAAAAGACCAACACGTTGCATTACAATAATGTTTTTCTCCTAAACATTTTTCATTTTGTTGTTTGTAGAAAGAGTTTCATTTCCTTGGTGAAATTAAACATTTCCTGTTAGAGGATGATACCAGTGCATCTTTACCCGGTTCTGTTGGGAGTTGAGGCTATGACTATAGTTTATGTTGAGTACACAGCCTAGAAGATTAAGTTGTGTTCATAATCTTGACTGATAAATTCTGAAAGTGTATTGGATTCTGAAGCAAACATTAAAAATACAAAATTCTGGTCTCCTTGAAGGATAATTCTAATTACATTTTTGGCCTCCTCTGTTCTAGAAGTGGCTTTAAATGTGATTTGTTGCTCTACATGTAATGAGCACGAGGAGGCGCTTCCTTTCTGTGTGATGAAATACTCTGTGATGACACAGCAGTTAGGGACACGGGGTCGAATGGCAGTGGCACCCACAGTGTCACTAGGACAAGTACACGGATGCGCAAGGAAGCCCCCAGATGTGGGCACAGCCTGCTGAGAAGTGGGATGAGTGGCTTCCTCCCACGCCGGGGGATGGCTTGCTCATGGGAGGTCGAGTGTGAGCGCAGAAGTACGACGTAGGCATGTGCGTGCTTGTGCTGCGTAGAGTGCAGTCTGTCTGAGCGGGATCAGAACTGGTCCGCGTTCTCTGCTCCCTGTGGAATGGTTCTCAAGGGCACACAGATGCACTCGGGTTTCCAGCCCTGGGGGCTCCATCTGGTCTCCCTCTCTTCAGACCCACTGCCGTGTCCCTTTTTACATGGAGGGGATCCTTGTGTCGGGAGGAGCTCGGCACCCGGTGTCCTCTGGCCTCTGCGGTCTGAATGAGTGTGCAGTTTCCATCTATCCATCCATCTTCATTAAAGCCAGCCTTCTCTCCAGCCTTCTCCAGAGGGTTGGAGAGAAGCTGCATCAGGCTGCCTTTTTGTTTTCCTCACCTTCCGCCCCCCCATGTGCCATATCCACTTCAGTTTGACTCCACATTTGCTCTCCCCTCCATTACTGCTACATCTAGTGACCTGCGAGTTTCTGCCAAGAGCAAGTCAATAAAGGAACACAGCTCTGCAGCCTTGAAAATGCTCAGTCCCCTTCCCATCAAACAGCAGTGCCCCATCAGACCTTGCAGATGCAAGATGCAGACATGAATTAGTCCAGTGTCTCATGGATAAAGGGGGGATAAAAAGATCCCAAAATGGGAAAAGTTTTGTTCATTTCTTTCAACATTCAAGGATTCCCTTTATGCCAAAGATACTCTGGTAAAATCCGAGGAGACTCTATCCCCCAGTTGTCCCAGATGGGAGTCTGATTATCTTTAATGACAGGAAGACTTTAGAGGGATAGTCTTTTTCTCACCTGGTCAGAGGTTGGGTTTAAGGAGGAAAGCATTCTTTCCAGCTGGTAAAGAGTTAGGTGGTTAGGTTTTCTGTGAAAGCCTGCACCCCAGCCAACAGATGGTGATGTAGGTGCTCGAGTGGAAGGGTGGTGGTATAAAGAATCCAGCGACTCTTAGTCCCGGATGTGCCCTGATGCGGCCACCATGGGGAGGCCCAGGGCAGAAGGAGAGGAAGACTCGCTCCACAGACATTTAGTCTGTGGAGTAGCGGACACCTGTTACTTAGTTACCTTAGTTTAAAAAGTAGCAAGATATTTTTCTTTTTTAAAAGCATGAGTCCATTTAAAGCCATAAAAAAGGCTTTTTCTTTTCTTTTTTAATCTAAGAAGAGAACAGATGCTAACAGATGAGATTTCACTGGCTGATTCATTTGTTTCAGATGCTTGAACGGATGCTTTAGAATTTTCTGCCTGAGCTACAGCACCAAGCTCGTTAGTCGGAAGGCGTTTGTGGCTAAGGCCTTGAAAGGGAAAAGTCTCAAGTGGGCTTATTTCTACTGAAACAGCATTTCGGGAGAAATGCAGGAAAAAGCAAACCCAAGGCCCCAGGGAGACCCCTTCCAAGCAAAGCACTCCTCCAGAAGGCGGAAGCAGGGTGTGGCTCATCTGCAGAGCCATGGCCTCCTGTCGCGGACGCTGCTCCCGGTGGTTCTTTTTCATGGAAGGGAACGTGCAAAAAGGCTTAACAGTTTTCCCTTCCAAGCAGAGACTCAGAGAAAGGGAAAGAGAGAGAGAGAGCAAAGGAAGGGGGCAGCCGCCCCACAGAGAAATGAAATGAACACAACTTCCTGACGCTGGCCAGTAAAAAAAATACCATAATAAAAAGATGAAGCAGACCTGCCTAAGGTGGGCAGCTGACTTCGTTCCAAAGTCCTGCATCCCTAGTTTGCCCGAACTCCCAAAGACTGGCAGGCCCCTCGGCAGTGAGCTGACAGAGTTTCTTTTATATGCCAGTCTGCCATGACCTCCTGACCCTCCGGCCCCCACTCTCTGCAGTGACCCAGTTGAGAATGCAGTGGCAAGTGGGCAGGCCAGGAAGCTCAGACACACCATTTAAACTAACACATACACCTGCATGCCAAAACCAGTCCAGGTAACACCTCAGGTTCCATTTTAACGTGTCCACGGGAAATACCACCACACCCAAACCTCATCCAACATTGTCCGTCTTTAATTCGTGCTCAAAGCCAGTCTGGGGATGCCTCTTTGGAAGCAGTGTGGTCTAGTTTCAAGGACACTGGGAGTCAGGGAACCTGGGTTCTAGTCCCAGCTCCAGCATTCACTTGCTGCGTGACCTTGGGCAAGACACTTAACCTCTCTGTGCCTCAGTTTCCCCCATCTGTAAAATGGGGGCAATAATGTCGACCTACCTCACAGGGCTGTTGTGAGGAATAGCTAAGTGATTGTAAAGCACTTTGAACGTATAATTGCTTATTATTAAGACTACAACAATAATAATATCAT